GCTATTGCTTTCTGCATTGTTCTCTCTTTCATCATCTTCCTCGCCTTACTCCCAGATGTTGTGAGTCCTCAGACTGTCCTTTTGCTGACCAAACTCTTCAGTAGGACTAAGTCATGCCCAATCTATCCAGATCTTTCTCTCTTTTTCACTAATGCAGCCTTACCTGTCTTATTTCATATCTGTTTATAGCCCTCCTTGTTCTCTCCTGGGATAAATCTGATTCAGCCAGTGAGTCCTTTGTTTGCATGACTTTATGTGTCCTTTCTCCAAGAAAGCATTTGTGTTTTAACTGGGGCCTTCAATACCATAACCCGACGGAGTAAAAGCACCTCATTCCTCCCACCTGATTGTGGCCCTCCCGTTGTCTGAGAATAGTGTTCTTTTAGATCCTTGCTTCTCAAAGTGTGGTCTGTGGACCAGCAGCATGGGCACCATCCTGGAATTTGCTAGAATCTCAGACCTTACTCCAGACCTACTGCATCAGAATCATTCCAGCAATACCCCCAGGTGATTCGTGTGCACATTCAAGTTTGAGCAGCACTGCCAGAGTAAGGAGCAGCTAGCCGAAGTGAGGAAGATTTGTGTACAGGCTCCTTACAAGAGGGCACCCAGAGCAGCTACTTCAGAGCCTTGGGGATGGGGCTCCCATCCCTGCTACCAGGAGAAGATGGCGTCTCCTAGGGGCCCAGCTGCCATGCTGGATCTCTGGAGCTTCCAGGAGAGTCAGGCTCCTGTGATTGGAATCAGAAGGCTAATTGGCTCCACATGGCTCCAAATCCTACCAGTTGTGAGGGGTATGACAAGACTCTCCAAGGAGCCAACCAAGTGTAAAGAAAAAGCAGCCAAAGGCAAGGAGGGATAGAGCACTAAAAACTGATGCCTGGGAGTCTAGCTGTTATGTTTCTATCTTCCTGCCCAAAAGTGCAAGGGAGAGAGCATCAGCTCAGAGCCAATCCATATTCTTTTCAGTTCACTTGTCCTTTAGCCACGTCCTGCCTAGCAACAGCTGTCAGCATGAGCTCCAGCTACCAGTCCGTCTTTGGACAGCAAGGGGGGATCAGTTTAGCCCACAGAGGAACTGGGATCAGGGTGTCCACAGGGAGCCAGGTCATCTGATCATTGGGTCAGGGAAAGTGCTGCCTGGAAAAGGAGGGGACAGAGTGCCTTGTGGGGCTGCCTTTTAGAGGCAAGAAGTTGATGAGGGAAGGGCCTGGTTTGTGCGAAGCAGGTGAAGTTTATCTTCAGCTCCCGTTCTCTGCTCCTCCTGCCACCCGGTGAATAATGCTACCAGTAATATCGCCACCTCTACATCTTTGTGATAGATTTAACCTTCCAAAGTGCTTCTGTAGCCATGATCTCATTTCATTCTCCCAACAACGCTGAGTGAACGGGATCAGAGACAGGTTAATTAAGATGTGGGCCGGCCATCCAGACTCAGCCAGGACGTGGAGTGCTGCTGGCTGCAGGGTTGGGGCAGTCCTGCGATGAAGACTGAATAGCCAGAGGGTTCAGGATCCTGAGTGGGTGTAGGTGGGGGTGCTGGGATTGTGGGCCCTGTCCAAGAGATTTGGCTCCAGCTGGGCTGCTAATGTGCTTAGCGTCTATGGGTCACTTCTTCATTGCCCACCTTGGAGGCTGGAATGGAAGAGAAGGAGTCACCTAGCCTATTTGGCAGGACATTTAGAGACTATGAGAAGATAATGGATGTGAAAGCACCTTTTCTCAGATGAGGTAATGGGTGTAAAAATGAAAAGAACCACACGGCTTTAAAGTGTTGTTATCCTTAGACAGAAGAGAAAGGCTAGGCCTTTACCAGGGTCACTGATTAGTGACGGCAAGTCTGGCACAAGGTGAGGGGATACCTTTGGAGGCCTTGGGTAGGAAGGGGACAGAATTAAGGCATTGAGTGCTTTGGGGCAAACAACAGAAGAAAATAGCAGGTCCCAGAAACAAAGCTGGGTGTTGGGGGAAGACCATAAGCTTTGGCTGCTTCCCAATTTTGTTCAGGGTTGTCCTGTTTGAAGGGACCAGAAGCCAAACATCTTTCAAAGTCAAATTGCCTATTTCCCTCAGGAGGGCAGTCATGTGACCCATGGACAGCTGAGCTCCTGTCATCTGTCACTGCTTGCCTTCAGTGTCACTCTCAAGTCTCCAGGCACTTAGCGAATTTCAGAGGGACTGAGCTGCAGACACTGAAAGATGCAAACTCCAGGAGGGAAGGGACAACCTCCATTTGCATTGTAAAATGGCCTTCTGGCCTGTTAATGGAGGTGTTTCTTCCCTGACCACAGATACCTGGAAGGCCCAAGTAGTGTGAAGAAAGGGCTGCTTGCAGAATTGGGGGAGGGTCTAGTTAGGGACAGATAGTCCAACTCAGTTAGGGACAACTCAGGGACCAATGTGCTCCAGTCACACCTGGAGACATGCCTGTGACTGTGGGAGAAATAGCTGGGTCCCCTGTGAGAAGATGGGAGCCCCCATGGACAGAGCTTGGCTTCTTGTCTCTCTTCTCATCTCTGCCCTTTCCTGGCCATCCAGCACAGTTCCCACCTGCTCCACGGAGCCCTCTCCAGCTCCTCTACCCCCTTCTCTGAACACATAATTCGGACTTTAATTATGGACTTCATATGCTATTTTCAGTTACCACTCTAATTCTCTTGTTCAGTGTACACTTGTCTCTTCTCCCCTCCGCTAGACTGGAAGATCTTTGAGGACAGAGATCTGTAACTTCTCTCTTGTCCCAGGAAGCTGTGACTGTCTGAGTAGGCACTCGATAAATACTTGTTGATGGATTAGCATGGTCACAACGGTAAAGCAGAACACTTGTATCACAAAATGCTTTTAGCCCATTGATTCCTTAGGCACCAGGAGTGTCTATTTTCATCAGTATTGGTGGTGCCTCAAGGCCTAGTAGAGACTGAAGTGGCCCCAGCTGCTGAAAAAGAAAAAGGTGGCAAAACCGAGGCTGTAGTGGCCAAGGGTTCCTGAGTGCAGGACAACATACCGAGCACTTCCATGGATATCTGGATCTTCTTTGCCAGTATTCCTGCTTTGCATGCTACAGGCTGCAAGCCCAACAGGCTCTCATCTTCCAGCCTGCCATGGCTGGTGCCCATGTTGGAAATGAGCTGGTGTCATCCCAAGAAGAGGCCCTTTTAGCGCCCATGAGGTTGGATGACAGGAGGCAAAGGGCTCATTTCGGAAGTAGCCCCAGGGATGAGGCAAGACAGCAGCTGCAGGAAGATGTTCTCTGGGTCCCTTCAAGGCCAAGCTCCTGCCTGCCACCAGGAGCAGAAATGAGAGAGGTGCCAGCCTAAGGCCACCCTCACTGAGTGCCTGTCCTGGGAGGGTATCTATCCAGGACACCAGCCAGCCCTGTTCCAGCCTCCGAGTAACTTCCCATTGAAGAGCCACCATTTGTCTTACCAGTGTGGAAGGGAAGGAGCCAGTTTCTGAATTCATCTTCAGAAGGCTTTACCTCATCCTAGAAGCCCCTTCTGCCTCCCTAAGAGGTGACAGACCCCAAGCCAGCTTGAGTGCAGCCAGAGTTGATGTGGCTAGATTCGGATCAGCCATGGTCTATCTTCCTTCCCAAGTTCGTCTATGAGAGAGAGAAGACCAAGACTATGAATTTCCCTTTTATACAATTACTCTAAATCGTACCCCACCATAAATAGTCCTAAAGCTCCTCTCTAATTATGGAATTTGTGTCCTGATAAACAACCTAATTGGTTGAAACCATTTGCTATTGAGAAATTTGGTATTCTTAGCTAGTCAACAATAACTCTCAGAGTGTCAGAACCTCCCACTTCTTTTACAAACCTTATACTAGTTTGATTAATTAGCTCCTGGCCCTCTGGATCTTGTTCGGAAGGGCCCTGACTGGAACCTTAATTTTTGAGAATACACACACTGAGGCTAGGGAACTCAACCCCATTTATTAGGCCAGAAAGCCTGGGGGTAGAGTGGTGCCAAGTCAGGGAGCTAAGGCTCTAGTCCCCTCTCTTCCACCTCCACCTGCGCTGCCCTACTGGTTGGCTATTCATTCCCCTCTTTACCTCCTTCCTTGCCCTTGGCACCCAGGGACCTCAAAGCCCCAGGTTCCCCACGCCCTCACCCCTCAGGGCTCTTCATTTGAATACTGCGCTCAGACCCATCCTTGCTTGCAGTATGTGTCACCCTGGCCCTTGCTGTAGAACCTTTATCAAGTCCTTGTGTAATTCCTAAGCTTCAGTAACTTAAGTTGTGGGCATCAGGAGAGCCATCTGTAATCTCTCTCAGGTATTGGGGCAGCGATTTCTCTTCTCCAGTTCATCTGGGGTTCAAGGCTGCTGGCAGCCACAGGATACAGCTCCCCTTCTTGCCCATAGGAGCCATTTTCCAGTTGTCCCATTAACAGAAATAAATTGGCATTATGTACAATTGTGTAAGGTAATGGTCCTCAACATTAGCCCATTTGTTTATGTATGCCATCTAAATAGTTTATTTTTATATATAACCTAAGGGATGTTAAAATTGTAAATTGCACAAGGACTTCATGAAGGTGCTTGAAATTCTGAAACAATTTCATGTTTCTTCCCCACTTACTTGCCTGTTTTGTGATCCCTTCCCTCAAGGTTTTTGTTTCCCTTAGGGAGTTAATAGCCAATTCAATGAGTAATACCAATTAACCTTCAGATAAGCCTATATTTGCATTTAGGCTTCTTCTCAAGTCCCAGTATCTTAGACGAAAGGACTAACTCCAATGTCAGGCTCTGTGGCACCAATTTCCTCTCTTGGCTCTGGCCCTGTAGACAAGTGGCTTCTCCTTTCTAGATTCCTATTTCTCCAATCTAAGATATGAGGTGGTCATCGCCTCTTCTGGTTCCAGAAGATGTAGGAAGCTAAGCGTGTGAACTCCCCATTGCCATAGCCAGCATCTTAATCAGTGTCCCTCCAAGCTGCTTCTGAGGCTTAGTTGCCTTTGCATCTTGTTTTGCTCCCATCTCCCCCACCCCCAGTCATGTGATGCAGGAAGAGAGCGCAAATGATATGGAATGTGAGCAGCTGCCAACAGAGACGCTGCGACAAGTGACCATTCATCGGGACCCTATATATGGCTTTGGCTTCGTGGCTGGCAGTGAGAGGCCTGTGGTGGTGCGATCTGTGAGGCCAGGTAGGTGTCCCTCAGAGTGTACCCCTGGCTCTGGCTCCTATCCCCCAACACCCACACATCTTCCCAAAGAGCAGAGCTCCTGAGCACACTGTGTTGCCAAGGAATTCATGAAGAGTGGGTGAAGACTTGCCAGCCAATAACTATGTGAGGGAGCTGGTCTTTTAAGACTGATCGACATGAACCATTGAGGCTGCTTGGGGCCCTAGACTGAGGCTGCAGTTGATGGTTTAGTTGGATCTGGGTCTTAATACAGCTTCCCTTTGCATAGAACCTTCATAGAAGAGCCATACTGCCTTGGATGAGAAATACCTATTCAAATCAATTCAACAAGTATTTATAGATTGCCTACTCTAAGCCCAGCAAGGTTGTAGGAAAGTACAAGACACAGTTCCTGTCCCCAAGAATCTAACCATCAGGCTGTTGAGGCTGGTACACACTCATGAAATAGGTCATCCGTTGAAGACTGGAATCAGGATACAGACCATAGGTGGGAGAGGAGGGGAGAGGAGAATGAAATCTCTGAATGCCACCGTGGCAATAACAACAGCTGTTGTTGACTAAGCAGCATCAACTGTGTGCTTTACTTCATCTTGTTTAATCCTCACAGCCAAGCCTGCAAAGTAAATAATATCATTCCCATTTTACAAATGAGGAAACTGAGGCATGGAGGAAGAGAAATGACTTGTACAGGGTCACTCGGCTAGGAAGCAGCAGAGTCCAGGATTTGCATCTGGGCCTGTCTGATGTTATGCAGGGGAAGCAGGACTTGAATGGGACCATGTGGGATGGACCAAGCGAAAGCTCCACCTGAGCTGTGAAACCCTGCCATCAGGAATGAAATGAGAAAGGGCCTAAGCACTGTTTTGTTCCAAATCTGCTAGGCATTGACAGAAAAGACAGACGGAAAGGAGCTTTATTCCCGACTTACTGGGCCTGAGGCTTTAGATGTTTACAACAGTTTCTGGCTCAGTCAAGAGGAGCAGCCGGAGTACAAACTGGTCTAGCAGAAATTTGATGAATTTTGCAATCCTCAAAGGAAAAGAAAAAAGATTTTTGTAAGCTCTCTCTTCAACTACAGGGCATAGAGAAAAAAACAATTCAGTACAAGAGTCCGTGGCCGACCTAAGGCTCCCGAGTCAGTCATGCGGTTTGGCAAAAGGTTTTTGAGTCTCTGATCAGAAATCTAATTTGTCCTGGGAAATAAAGACCAGATAAAACTTAATAACAGACCACCAGGAGCCCCTGCCTTAACTTCAAAGTAGACAGAATTCACAGGGCCGCTACAAGTGGTATGAGAATGAAGAGGAAGGAGTTGGAGGAGTGAAGAGAAGGAAAGCCCCAGGCAAGAGCCACAGAATGCCAAGGGCCTGGCATAAGAAAAGACAAGAAGTATCCTATAGAGGAACAGTTATGGTTGAGCAAGCCAACAAGCCATTCCGTGAAAACAGTACTTGATTGATGTTTCCACCGCCATCAGGGAGCCAAGGCCCGTGAAGGAGGTTGAGTTCCATGAGGACCTCTTCCATTAAAAGGAAGGAAGGAAGAGAGAGAGAGAGGGAAGGAGTAGGTAGAGTGGCCTCCACCTAAAAAAATGGGCATTTTTGGCAGAAGTAGATAGAAGGAATGAAATGAGTTGAAGTAATTGTCCCTTGGAGGATATAATAGCTACCATTTATCGAATTCTTGCCAACATCAATCAACTCTTTTAAGGTCTGTACATTTATCATCTCTTTTATCCTCCCAACATTCTTATGATGTATAAGTACTGTTATTTTCCCATTTTACAGATGAGGAAAGAGAGACTCAGAGATTCGGTGTCTCATCCAAGGTCACACAACTAGTGAATTGTAGGTTTGGGATTAGAGTCCAGGTCTGGCTGGCTCCAAAGAATGGACTCTTCACCACCAGGCTCTCTGCTCCTGAAGTCACTGTGCTGTCGGGAGACTTGACTTGAGTGGGTTGAGGGCCTTTGCAGTTGGAGTGGTGAATCCTGCTGGCTGAGCCATCCTAGCCACCCTCAGCACACAGGCCCCACGCTCCAGAGTCATTGAGCTGTGCTCAAGTGATACAGTTGCTCTGTTTTTGTCCATGTTTTTGGAATTTGCGCAGCACACTTCTTTGTAGAGAGAGGGAGCAGTTGGGATCTGGCCCTTTAAAGTGGACACAAACAAGAGTCCATGCTGGTTTGAGAGGGGAACATGGCAGTAAACACTTTTTTCGGGTTTGAGTTAGGCTGGGTCTGACTTCGCATTCTCCCTGAGTCTCTGAAAAGCTTTTCTCCAACAAGTCTTTGCTAAACACTAGAGGCAACATAGGCTATGGCACCCCTCTACCGTACTCTTTACCTGAACCAAGCAGGTAAGGCCCTCAGAGAGATCTGCTTTCTTAACCTCAACAGTAGAGATAAGAAGGAGAGAACAAATTTCCGACTGCCCGTGATTTAGGCTCAGTCACTTGTTTCCCTCATTTATTGGAGAGTAGCATCTCGGAGTTAAAAGAAAATAAACCCTTTATGTCTTTTAGTCCATCCTCCTGTCTCCGGGCAAGTGAATGCCTAAATCATTCCAGACCAGTGAGTATGAATAATGTTCAAGTAAGAAGATTCCTCTCCCTCTTCCCATCACCTGTACCACCTCCAATAGTCTGGAAGTCATTCCTTGTGCCTAAGCAGATCCCTCTTGGTGAAATGGAAGTCCGTGTTCCTCTTTAGATCCAAGCCAGGAAAGCACTTGTTTGAGTGCCAGGCCTTTGCTATCACACCATTCCCAGCCAAAGGAAGTCCACTCCATTCTCTTTCTTCAGTCTTCTGCCCTCCATCTGCCATAGGCAGCAGCGGCACAGAGCTTGAAAAGCACCCCTACCATCGGCACCACTCAGCCCCCACCTCCTGCAGGCCTCAGCGCTCACTTCAGCTCCCTCAGGCACTGCTGAGTCCCACCCAGACCTGTGCTGTCCCAGCAGTGGCCCCAAGCCCTCATGCCTCTCTCCTCTCCTCTGCAGGAGGCCCCTCTGAGGACAAGCTCCTGGCTGGTGACCAGATTGTGGCTATTAATGAGGAGGACGTGAGTGAAGCCCCCAGGGAGAGGTTCATAGAACTCATCAGGTAACAGGGGCCTTTTGGGCCTTGGCAGGAGCTGAGCACTGCCCCCTCCCCTGTCCCACCAGTGGCATAGGGCTACCATGGTCCTTCTGGCCCCAAGAGAGGAGCCCTCTGAGGAAGAGCAGCCCTAGCCAGGGCTCCTGGCTACCCAGGACTTCCAGGGCCAGCCCTTCTGGGACCCCAGGGGCCCTCACACACTCTAGCTTAGCCTTTTCCAGTGATGTGAACAGACACAAGGGAGAGCCTCCTGCCAGAGCTCCCCTCATCTCCCTCCACCCAACTACTCCCCTCACCCAACCCCTTGGTTTCTGACTTACTGTGTGGTGGGACAGACCAAGTGACCAATGAGAACCAAGCGAGCCATTAAAAGAACACTCAGATAAGCATAATATGAGCAAGACGTTGTTTCCCACCTCCCTACCCCCCCAAAAAATCACAAGGAGGAGAAAATCCGAATCCCTGGCCAGTGGGTTTAGGATTGGAACCTGCCATTGTGGATTTTGCTCATGACGTCTGTGACCGTTTAGTGCCCTCCCCAGACTGGGGCAGATGAGAGAAAGGAGTGTCAGGGGGATCACCACCATCTGATGTGGGGGTAGTCACATTGACTTTTCCCCTCTCTTACCCCTACACCATGCACACTGCATGCCACACACCCTACACACACACCATGAACACCACATACCGCACACACACACCATGCCACCACATACCACACACACACACCATGAACACCACATACCACACACACACACCGTGCCACCACATACCACACACACACCATGCACACCACAGACCACTCACACATATATCATGCCACCGCATACCATACATAAACCATTCACACCACATGCCACACACCCTACACACACACCATGAACACCACACACACACACTGTGCCACCACATACCACACATACACACCATGAACACCACATACCACACACACACACCATGCACACCACATAACACACACATACCACATACACCATATACCATGCACATACACTATGCCGCCACATACCACATGCTATGCACACCACATACCACATACTACACACACACACTATGCCACCATATACCACACACACACACACACACACCATGCCACCACATACCACACACACACTCTATGCCACCACATACCACACACAAACCATATACCCCCACACACACACACACCAGGCCACCGCATACCACACATGCACACCATATACCACACACACATACCATACAACCCCACCCCGCACACACCATGCACACCACATGCCACACACACACCACACACTACGTACATGCCTATACCCACACGTGACACGTGCTCACATACACATACATATACCATACACACTTCCCTACCCCACACTCCCACCACATGCACACACACACATACCACCTACATGCCTCCTTGCATAGACTTGATGATAAGGAATGAGAGGATAGAGGTGAAGGCTCTAAATTCCATGGGCTAACCTCAGTTTGGGGGACCTTGGCTATCTCCCCCCAGATGGAACTATGTGCTCTCTGTCTTGCTTGCTCTCTCTGTCTTGTATAGTCTGTTCCACTTCTGCCTCCATAATCTTCAACCTTTCTTGGTTTGGAGTGTTTTCATACCACTGGTCTTTCTTGTTCTCCCAAAGCCCACCTGCCCCTAGTGCCCCTCCCTCTCCTTCAAAGGCAGATTCAGTGCTCTGTGTAGATCAGCACCCTCTTGCTAGCTCTGGAGGGGTTTGGAATGCTCCCTCCTGAAGTCCAGAGCAGGTCTTCCTTGACATACTCTCCCTCCCACTCAATATCTTGGAATATGTCTGGTCCCTAATGACATTTAGTTTGTCTCCTTCATGGTCAGTTGTCCGTTGCATTCTCCACCCTTTACCCTTCACCCTCCACCCTTCACCCTCCACCACCACACTGATATGGGGTGAGTTCACTCAACCCCATCAGGGCCTATTGGGGTTTTTTCAGCTTGGCCCCTCAGAAGTCTTTGCTTTGCTTCTAGTGGATATCTTTGCACTCTAGAACAAGGTAGCACAATTTTGTGAGGGAGTCCAGAGCTCCTTCAACGTCAAGACAGAGCTCACTCATCTGATAACCTCAGGAGCTAGCATATTATTCATTCATACATTCATTCAATGAATATTTATTATCAAGTGTCTACTATGCACCAGGCACTGTTCTAGGCACTGAATATACAGCAGTGAATAAGACAGACAAAAATCCCTGCCCATTGGAGTTTTACATTCTAGTGAAAGGAGACACACCATAAGCAATGAACATGATAAATAAGTAATTGTACAGTATACTAGAAGTTGATGAATGTTATTGAAGAATAGAAAGTGAATCAGGGTAAAGAGGTTCGGGAGTGCTGGGCACAAAGTGCAGAGTACAACTTTAAACAGCATGGTCAGTGTTGGCCTCACTGAAAGGTGACATCTGAAGAAAGACTTGAACGAGGTGAGGGTATTGGAGAAAGAGAAGAGCCAGTGCAAAGGCCCTAAGGCAGGAGTGTGTCTGGCATGTTTGGGAAAAGAGGAGAAGTCAGTGTGTGGAGTGGGGTAAGGAAGGGGGAGAGTTGTAGCCACTGTAAGGACTTTGGCTTTGTTCTACATGAAATGGGAAGACGCGGGAGGGGCTGGAGCAGACAAGTCACGTAATCTGACTTACACGATGCCCCTGCCCTGTTCAAGAGAAGGAAAGAGTTGTATTCCAGGGAAAACACCATGGAAAAACCTGTCTTCCCAGACTCTGGAGCAGGTTCCTCCCTGGACTTCACCTCACCATATATAGGAAATGTTCCAAGTCCTTGAGCAAGGGACCTTGGCCTTTCTTGAATATGCAGAACCAAGGCCATCTTGACTCTGCTTTTTGAATACCTTTGTTCCCATAAACATTTGAAAAAAGCCAGCAAGGAGAGGGGAAGCTCCTTCAAGGCAAACTCTTTCCATTTCTTTTAGTTCTTTTAAAGAATAATGTATTCCTGGGAGAGAATTTTCATACCTCACAGCCTGTTTGATCATTGGCATAATTCTTGTCGGAAGAGTTTCAAATTCTTCATCCTTTTGAATATTTGCTATCTGGAGAGTCTTGGCTTCCATCTGTTGCTCCCTGGCTCTCATTTTTTTGGTCCTTCAATTAAAACAAATCTGCTCAGTATGAGTCATGATGACCAAATGACCTCCTTTGGGTTTTTCCTTTGAATTTCTCCTTTTGCTTAAATACCAAATTGCCAATAATCATGGTACGTGGTTCCCAGGACTCTGACTGTGTGCCCTTTGAGTTCCACAATTCAGGTCTTTAGTTTTCCTTGAGAATTTTCTAGTCTACAGATAAAATTGCTCCTAAGGTTTGGGGATTTTTATGGAGAGAATGTGAGAAGGAATATAAAAAGAAGACCTGAAAAATGACAAACTCAGAGATAATGGTAATACCATCTTCAGATGCCTGTGTGACCCTATGTGGATAGTTTATGGCAGCCGCCACAAATGATGGAAGGTGAGGCATCCATGCAGATATTCAGATTGCCCTCTGTCCCAATCCATATACCTGAATGCAGCACAGGGGAAAATTCTGGTGTTGCTTCTTGTGCTAGATGAATAACTAGTGCATGATACACTACTCTCCTGTTCCCTCTTCTCTCTGTAGGAGCGCTAAGGAATTCATCGTTCTTACAGTTCTGCACACTCATCAGGTGAGTGAGCCTCTTTGCCATCTGCCTGTCCTCCTGACTGAGATGAGAAGACCCCATATTGGAAAGCGACAGTGATAGGAGAGGGGGTGGGGGCAGAGACTAGGACCAACATGCCAACTAGCCAAGGATTCAGGAATGAACTTAAGGCGTACCTTCTGAATATCTTGTCTACTATCACGTCCAAAGCTTGAGAATTTTGAAGGGCTACACAGTTCTATGTTTTGCCCTGTGCCCTCTGCTTTACCACACTTAACCTGCTCACTGCCCCAGTTTCAGACATATTTTCCTCCTTTCTTTTGCTGTGCCCCATCAAAATTTACCTGTCCAGTGTCCAACACCCATAAAGTTCTTGCAGATGGTGGGTGCTAGTCCTGTTCATTCATTCATACAGGTATTTACTTAATGGCCTACAATGTATGAGACGCAGCATTGTATGTAAGGGATTTAATATAAAGTTGCTGGGGAGGTACAATTGGACAAACAGTTCATCTTTGTCCTGGTACAGTCACTAACTGGCTCTGTGACCTTGGGTGGGTCAGTTCCCTTTTCTGAACCAGTTTCCTTTCCTCATCTGTGAATTGATAGGTTTAGATTAGAACAGTGTTTCCCAAACTTAGCTGATCATAATAGTACCAGGACTGCTTATTAAAAGTGAAAATCCCCAGGCTCCTCTCCTCAAGAGTTGGGTTCAGAAGGCCCAGTGGCCATTACTAGGTTACATCCTTATAGTAATCTTAACTCAAATGCACAAACCCGGGTACAAAACTTCCATGTGCAAAACTCAGAGCCCTCTTTCCACCTCCAGCCTAGTTGTCCATTCCCAATGTCCCCAACACTGCCCTGCACCTCAGCACTGATGTCCCACCCCCATCCCATAGCCACAGGAGAGGTCACATCTGTTGGGGGTGGGAGACATGAAATCAAGGAAAGCTTCACAGAGGAGGCTGTACTTGAGCTGGACCTTGAGGGATTGGGTAGGATTTCCCAGGCAGAGATGGAGGGAAAGATTTTTCAAAGAGAGATGACATTTCTGTGCAAAGCCAGTGATGGTGCACAGGTGCGAGGCATGGGCTCACAAGTCAGGGGGACACGGTTCAAATCAAGCTCTGGCACTAGCTTCTCCCCAGGGCCCCCAGCCCTCTTTTCTGTCAGTGTGAACTTCACACACACTCACACATGCACACACACACAGACACACACAAGCACACACACTTGCACATGCTCCCCGGCAGCTAGGCCTTTCTCATTTGCAATTCTCCTCTGTCTCTGGGCAGGCAAGCCCCACCCCTCAGTGAGTGTTACCAATAGGCCCCTCCCTCCCTACCTTACTGCATATGTACAGTTGCCTGGTGGGCAGTGGGCACTTAGTCCCCACTCCCCAATCTCCTGTCGTGAAAATGACCACCAGTTGTCCCCTAAAAACATGCTTATTGTGTGGTTAGAATTTACCGCTCTGATCAGAGACCCATTGTGGGTCACTTTGTTAGTCAGATCTCCTCAAGTGTCACCTCCTTGTAGAAGCCTTCCTCAACTACCCTTTCTAAGATAGCATCTACCTGTCACTATCTCCTGATACTGCTTACTTTTTCCATCAGAACTGAAATATTATATTTTTTAACTTTTGGTTTGGAAATATTTGTAGATTCACAGGAAGTTGCAAAGCTAGTAGAGAGACATCCCTGTGTACCATTTACCCTGTTTCTCCCAGTGGTTATATCTTACATAACTACAGTGCCATATCCAAACCAGGACATGTACCTCAAAATAATGTGTGCGTATGGTTCAGTGTCAGTCTGTCACGTGTGTGTTTGTGTATCCACCAACACAGTCAAGATACTGGACAGTTCTATCACTAAAAGGACCCCTCACCCACCTCCTCCTCACCCCCAATCCCTGTCAACTGCTAATCTGTTCTCCATTTCTGTAATTTCATCATTTCAAGAATATTATATAAATGGAATAGTATAGTATGTAACCTTTTTGGGATTGGCTTTTTTCACTCAGCATAATGCCCTTGATATTCATCCAAGTTGTTGCGTTTATCAATAGATTGTTCCCTTTTATTGCTGAGTGGTATTCCATGATATTCTATGGTGTGGATGTACCAGCGTTCCTTTAGTCATCCACCCATTGAAGGACATCTGGGTTGTTTCCAGGTTTGGGCTATTACAAATAAATGTTCATGTACAGATTTTTTGTGAGCATCTGTTTTCATTTCTCTAGAACAAATGCCCAAAAGTACAATTGTTTGGTCATATATTAAATGTATGTTTAGTTTATTAAGAAACTGCCAGACTATTTTCCAGAGTGGCTGTACCATTTTACCTTCCCATGAAATATTATATTTATATGTATTTATTGTCTATCTCCTTCATTAGAATGTCAGCTCCATGAGGGTAGGGACTGTGTTTTGTTTGCTGATGTATCTCCAGCACCTGGAACAGCACCTGGCTCGATAAATAGTTTGTTGAAGGAATGAAGGAAATCCAACTTCCAGCCATCATAGCAACCTAAACTGAACTAAACTCGTGTCCAAACTTACAAGCAGAATGAAGAGCCTAATACTTCCCCCATCTCTGTCCCAACTCTCATTCCAGTGCCCCTAACACCCCTTTGCCCCCCAGTTCTGATGCCTCCACATGTCCCATCGCATGGCCTCTCTGCTCTGGCCAGTCTGCTTTCCTTCTCCTCCTTGTACACTTCCTAGTTCTTACTGCCCTGCAGACTTCTGTCCTTGTAGTAGTCCACATATCTTCTAATACGTGTCTGTTTCCTTTAAGACCTGGCTTGAGACTCATGTCTTCCAAACAACTTTGCCTGACTCACCTCAATGAGAGTTTCTAATTCATTCATTCATCCATCCAACATTTTTTGAATACCTACTATTCTAGGCACTCTTCCAGGTTGGGAATATAGCAGTGCACAGGACTGACATGGTTCCTACCCTCACAGAGCTTACATTCTAGTTCTTGGCCTTGTGTTCTCTAAACCCTTGGAGCATAGAAGTGGGTGAGCACATACACCACACAGGGGTAATAGTCAAAACAATTAATAACCTGTACAGTAGGTGCTATCCGATCAGAATGTAAGCCAGCCATAGGCACTGGAGCAGAGTCTTGGAGGCCTCCTAACTGTGCCAAGTATTAACCATTTAGTTGATCATTTGTGAAGAGGTCCTAGAGGAGAGGTCAGGTGACACCCAGGAAGCTTAGGGCAGTGGCTACTTACCAATCAGTGTGAAAGAATTCCTCAGTATTTTACAACAGGTATGGCCGTACCAGTGCATCCCCACTGAATGTCAGCCTTGCATACATGTGCAGTTGATCCTCATTATTCACAGATTTCATATTTGCAAATTCGCCTACTCCCTAAAATTTATTTGTAACCCCAAAAATCAATACTCACAGTGCTTTCCTGGTAATTTGCAGACATAAGCAGCACGTGAAAAATTTGAGTCTCCCAAAGCACATGTTCTCAGCTGAGGTCAACAAGGCGACGCTCTGTCTTCTTGTTTCAGCTGTCATACAGAGGTGTCCAGAAGATGGAGATGGTAGGGGACAGTGCAATGGAGTACGAGAAGCTCTGGCTCTGGGGACAGTTGGATGGGATTTGAATCCCAGCTCTGGCACCTGTTAGTGGAGTGGCCTCACACAAGTCACTTAACACTTCAGAACCTCATTTTCTCCTAGTGAAATAAACAAAGTAGAATCTACCAGGATGAGTTGTTTTGAGAATTTAAGGTTATAATCTATGTGAGATACATACACACACACACACATTTCCCTTAAGAACAACTGTTCAGTATTCATTAGTTCAGTGTTCGAGGTGACTTTATAGACCATAACTACCATGAATAACAAAAATCAACTGAGAATCTTCTCTCTTAAGCTATAGTGAAAGCTTCTTGAAGATCCCCAGCATATGTTCAGTGTTATAGCCCCTGCATCACAGAACATAGTACTGCATCCACGGCAGGCGCTTGGCATCTCATGGGTGCATGGAGACTGCTGCTCCTTAGCAAACTCTTGTCATGTTCAAGCTTGATTACCACTTCTTCCAGAGACAATTTCCCAATAGGTCCAGGATGTGGCCCAAGAATCTGTATTTTTAATAAGAGCCACAAGTAATTCTGATGCTCAGTAGAATTTGGGAAACATCAGATCAGACAATCTCTAAGGCTCCTGCCAGCTCCTACGTTCCGTGGCTGATAATACAGTGGTTCTCAACTCTGGTTATACATTAGAACCAGCTGAGAAGCTCTTAAAAATATTTATAGTCAAGCTCTAGCCCTGATCAATTGAAATGGAAACTCTGGGGATGGAGCCCAGGTATTGGTCTTTTGAAAAGGCTCCGAAATGGTTCTGATATGTAGCCAAAGTACCTATCAAGAACTACTGGTCTAATATGTAGTCTCTTTCAGATGACATTTTCCTTTTAACAGAGTGATTCTTACTATGGAAGATCATTGGGGGGTATCTTGGGCAGTCACAGGGTCCTTTCCCAGGGCCCCTCAAACCACATTGCATAGATAGCCACTTATTAAGCCTATATGTATTTAAGGGTGTTCCTTAATCTTTGAGTGACCAGCTATTCCCCATGACTGACTGAATATGTATTAATTTGGGTACCCTTAGACCTGTGCACACAGTGTGTCCTCAACAAATATTTTAAAGTAAATAAAGTACTGGGTTGTGACCCAGAATGGCCCTGGTAAAGCAAGCAGACAGTCCCTTCAAATGAAATCTTAGTTTGCTGGTTCTGAAAACTTAGCCTGTAACCTAAGACCCTGTATCTCCTCTGCTTGGAGCCACTTGGTCAGAAAAAAAGCCAACATAATGGGAACCACTGCAAAAGAAGTGTTTTTCCACAGAGTTTCTTGAGGTATAGTGCTTGGCAGATGGTAGGTACTTAAAGCATATATGCTGAACTGATTTACTAATTTGTTATTAACTTTAGCAATCAATTAATATATTTTATTCTCTGCCTACTCTGTGCTTGGTTCTAAGGGGAGACATGGTAATATAAAATGTCATCTCTTCTTTTACAGCCTGGTTGGGAAGATGAGCTATGACAGTGTGGATTAACAAGGAGTCCTATAGGAAATCCAGGGAGGGGAATGAATGGAGGAGTTGGGGAAGGATTCAGGACCAAGGTAGAATTTGAGCTGGGCTTTAGAGATGCCATTTAGCTGAGCGAAAGGGACCCTGGGGCACCTGAAGTGTGGGGATGGCAAAGAGACAGCATGAGGTGGGCACAGAAGAGAAGAAGCCCAGTGTATCCAGGGACCTGTGGGCAGAACCACCCAAATAGGTGATAGATGGAGAATGAGAGTCATATGTGGCTTACGGCTGGAAGCGGGGGAGCTTGGAAGCTGGGGAGATGACATGTTCACCTCTAAGCAGTCCCGAGTGAAGGAAGGAAGGCCCCCTGCATCCCTTATCAGTGGGCCCATGAAACCAGGATGCCCCTCCATTGTCCCAGGCTCCCACAGTGGTTGCTATGGGAATTGCTTATGAGTAGGCTCAGGTGTCAGAGACAATGAGCCAACAGAAAGGAGAATCAGGAGGCTGTCAAAGCTTCAGGAACCTGAGCTCTATCCTCTTAAAATCCTTTCACACTTATCGAGGTGGGGCCCCATTGTGCACTAAAATGTTGGGCCATTTACCCGACTTTGGCCAAGATATGAGTGAACACAACCCTGAAATCTGTACTAATAGAGCCACCAAATTAAAAAATGGTCAAAGAATCACCAGCTGCTGAATTCAGTCCTGAGGGAGAGGCAGGCTCTCTCCTGTATTGCTTATTCCACTGAGCTGCTGGCTTCATATGTGCTTCAAGGGGCTTGCAGTGGCCCTGGAGGTACTTAGAAATTGTAGTCCAGTGTTTCAAGCCAAAATTCATTTTAGCCAGAAAGGGTGCCTGTTGCAAAACGAGACTTCCAGCTGCTTGGAGGAAAAATGGGTCAGTGAAATGCTCAGATGTCCCAGCTTTAAGGTACTCAATTAATCTATGCTTAATGGGTTAGGACATTTTCAACACTATAAATTCCTGGGCCCTACCCTCTCAGAGACTATGACTTTGTAAGTCTGCTGTGAGCTTAGAAATCTGTGTTTTAACAAGCACTCCCCAGTGATTCTTATGAGGAGAGTTTTAGAAACAGTGGGTAAGTTGATGAGTTAGTGCAGGGGTTGGCAAGCATTTTCTGTAAAGGGGCATATTGTAAATAATGTAAGCTTTGTAGGCCATACGTGACAGCACAAAAGCAGCCATAGGCAATACATAAATGAAGATCATGGCTTTGTTCCAATAAAGCTTTATTTAAAAAAACACATGGTGGGCAGGATTTGGCCCATGCAGACCCATAGTCTGCTGGCCCCTGAATTGTGTTCATTACTCCTCCCTGGTACCACATTTGCATTTTGACCAGGGCCTTCCCAGTTCTCAATATTTTAATTCAAATGAATGACCCTAGTATTAAGAACTCAAGGCCCCATAGCTGAGCATTGAAGATGCTTTGGGACAGGGCGACCTTTGAGAGCCCCTCATATCACACTGTAAGGCAGGTGTCACCTGTGTCGAAGCATAAGGCACAACATGACTCTGTGACATATAGCAGAGACCAACTGGCAATGTGTGAGTCACTATCAGTGATCAAGGCTGAAGACCAAGAATAGGATAGAGTCTTAGAGACCTACAGGACAAGGGTCAATGAGGAATGAGGCACAAACAGGCAGAAAATAGCTCTACAACAGATACTGGAAATGATTATAATCCCTGAAAATAGTGGCAATTCCACTTGCTCCTTCATGATTTTGCTCCTATAAATATGTGAATCTTTTATCTGTAGTGGTATCTCTAGGACAGGATCTAATCTTGGACTTTTGGTAGGGATAGAAAGGAGGCTGTTCCCTTCCCATAGGTGAATACATGAAAGAATACCAGTTGGGGTTCTTCATATATTTGAATCCATTCAGTAGGACCAAGGTAGAACCAGAACCAGTGGATGAAAGATCAGGAATGGACTTCTAGCTTCAGCCTGCTATAGTGAACAATCCCTAATCCAAGACTCAGGAAATCTGGGTTCTAGTTTCGGCTCTAGTTTCGGCTCCACTACCAAATTATTTTGATACTTTGAGTAAACCATATCCTCTTCCTGGGCCTCTGTTTCATGTGTAAAAATGAAGGGTGGACTACATGGCCCATTCAGGTTTCTAGAAAGGCCTCGTTCCACACTATGCATGGGGCATCCAATGACAGATGATCACAGAGAATGGAAAAGGTGACTGTCAGGTGGAACAAAGATTTCACCTGCCTCATGCCTGTGGCACCTCGGGTGAAAATTTGGACTGCAGTGGAGACGGAGTCAAGCAGAGCTGCCTGAACATACCTATAGATCTTTCTATCTGCCCCTTCCCTTTGCTCCTGCCGCAGGCTGCAGCACCCACCCAGGATTTAAGCACCAAGCTGTGCAACACACAAAGGCATTTCTCAACTCCCATGAACAATCAATACTGTAATCACTTTCTGCAATGATCTCCAGCCCTGGATTTCACTGTGCTATATTGTCTGCTGCCAACAAATTGTCCCTATGGCTCAGGATGAGAAGTCTAAGGTTTCTTTAACTCAGTGGTTCCCAACCTTAGCTGCATTTTGAAATCATCTGAAGTTTAAAAAATACTGAGACCTGGGCCCCATCCCCAGGAATTTGACGTAATTGATCTGAGGTGGGGCCTGGGCATCGGGGTTTTTAAAAGCTCCTCCAGTATTTCTGTGGTGCACCCAGGACCGACACCCACTGCCTGAGGTTCTGCTGGACTCGGGTTGAACAGGTGGCTTTTTGCAATCTGCCATCTGTGGGGAATGAGATTGCTGGCTCTAGAAGAGAACACAGCTGGGACCAGGGCCCAGGACCTGATGAGGACGTTTGTTTCTGGTGTGTCTTTATCTTAGGGCCCTGCCCTCCTGTGGCTGATTGGGTGAATGAATCTTAACCACAGAATTAATGGCAGAAAATAGCGTAATGTGTTGCCTTCCCAGCTGGGAGGGACATTCAGGGCCTTAACACAAAGGAATTCTTGATTGTAGAACTCGCAGGCTCCACAGCAAGGCTAGTAAGGGAGGTGGTTTGAAGGAATCCCCAACCCGATTTCCCCCCTAGTCTTCCTCATCTCAGTAAATGGCAACTTCAATCTTCCAGTTGACTCCTCTCTTTTTCTCACTTCCCACATCCAATCCATCAACATATCATCTTGGTTCTATCTTCAGAATTTGTCCAGAATTCACTCACTTTTCATCATCTCCATTATTACCATCCTAGCCCAAGCCTCCATCATATTTTATCTGTATTATTGCTCCTAATTGGTCCCGCTACTATAGACTCCTAACTGGTCCCCCAACTTTGGCCATCACCCTCCTAAACTGTCTTCCACACAGCAGCCAGAGGTGTCCTTTTAAAAATGCAAGTCAGACCCGTCTGCTCAAAACCCTCCAGTAGAGTAAAATCTAGAATACTTGCTATGGCTTACAAGGTCCTATGTGACCCAGCCCCCGGCTGCCTCTCTGAGCACAACCCCTCCAAATCCTCTCTCAGGCCTTCTGCTCTGGCCACACTGGGCTTCCTTGCTGTTCCTCATGCACCCCAATCCTACTCCCACCCCACAGCCTTTATTGTTTTTTTCTGCCTGGAAGGCTCTTTCTTCAGCTATCCTCATGGCTGGCTCTCCAGCACCTCCTTCAGGTCTCTGCTTAAATGTCACCTCTCAGAGAGGTCTTCCCTGACCTTCCTGTCTGAAAATAACACCCCCATCACTCCAATCCTCACTCGCTCATTCTCTGGTATGGTCCCTTACCCTGCTCAATTTGTCCTCATAAGTCCTTATTTGCTGCCTAAAAGAGATTTGTTTATTATCTGTCTGTCCCTGCTAAAATGGACTCTCCTTGAGGTGAGGGAGTTTTGTCTGTCTTGTTCACTGCTGAATCCCTCATCACGTAGAACAGTGTCTGGCACATAGTAGGCCCTCCCTAAATTTGTCACATGAATGAATAAGTGCCCCCAAAGACATGACGGTGCCCCTCACCAGGACTCCTGCATTTCCTCGAATCCAAGGAGCACCCAGGAAAGACTTAGTTTCCAGTGTCTGCTAACCATTCGTCCTGCTGAATTTGTGGGAGAGTTTTCAAGAACTAGAGAGCCTAGCTGATTCTTGGGGCATTTCTTATACAATTGGATGAACAAAGTGGTGGAGAGCTCAGACCTAGAATGTCAGGACACCTGGGTAAAATCCCCAATGCCTCTATTCCAAAATAGTGTAGAAATTGTGGATAAATCATTTTGGAGTGCTAGGCTTCCTCTCTCCCACATCTAAAATAATATATTCTATGAGCCTCCTTCCTAGGGGTAGGGCATATCTGTGAGATGAATAAGATAATTTCTGTAAATCCTTTGAGATGCTTATATTCAATGTAATAAAAACCACCATTTAGGTATATCTCACATTAAGAAAACCAAATATATTCAGTGTATGCTATTACTAAAGAATTTTTGCAAACTCCCCTAGGCCTAGAACATTAATAATGGGATTCAATTTACCCAAATTCGATTCATGCTCTGCTCTTTCAGAACACACCAATCATACAAGGAAGCATTTAGCACATTGCCTTGCACCTAGTAGGGAATCGATACTTATTTATTGACTTATTGATCAGTAAGGCCAAGTGTACCTGCAGTGAGACATCTTAACTCGAACGTGGCAAAGGTCAGGTTTTTCCCAGGAATGGAGAACTCACCAGCCCTCTCTTCTTTTTTCCAGTCCCCCAAATCTGCCTTCATCAGTGCTGCGAAGAAGGCCAAGCTGAGATCCAATCCTGTGAAGGTCCGATTTTCTGAGCAGGTGGCAGTTGGAGAAACAGATGCAGTAAGTGCAACTTCAGTTCCCTCTGCTTGGCCCTTGGCCAGAATTGGCCTGGCGGTCAAAGTCTCACTCTGGAGCAGTTGCTCATCTGCTGCTCCTCAGAGTGAACAGCATTACAAAGGGGTTGGAGGGGGGACCTCAGGACTCTGAGTGGGTAGTGAGGGGTGTGTGGCATCCAGAGAGGCCGTGGGCTCTGTGGGGAGGAGGAATACAGGGTGACAGGATCCTCATGGTGCTTAGAGAAATTTCCATCTCTAGCACAGTACCTTATACTCAGAACAAGTGCTCCATGGACATCTTTCGGCTACTTGATAGAAGCAGGAAGGAAGTAGTGGTTTTCTGAAGTTCCGGAGAAAGAGTGGCTGGTGAAGTTGAGCTCTCTTCACGTTGAAGTGATCCTGTAACTCCTTGTCTTGACTGAAGAAGACTGTGCAGTGAAGGGTGAAGCAGCCTGGGGAAAATGATACAGACTTGCATTAAGTCGCAAAGCTTTTATTAGGCACTTGCTGTGTTCCCAGCACCACAAGGGATACAAAATAAATACCTGTTCCCTACCACCGGATACCTCACAGTGATGTTGGGGGGACAAGTGGTTCAGATTGAGACAGTATAGAATCCGTCACTGGGTGATATGGTTTTGAGGAGCAGGTGATGCTTGGCAGCCCATGCCATATAGCTGCCAATCTGGGGGGTCATGGCCAGCCCACTGTCTTTCTCACTGCTTTGTGGGGTTTACATGAGCTGAGCTGTCTGCTCCAGATAAGCAGATGAGAAGATGTGGGTGGAGAGCAGAAAGATGTATATTAAGCAGTCATGGATTATGGCCCAGAGTCCCCCAGGAATCTGCAGAAGTTGATGATATCCCGTGGAGGTGAGGGTGGGGTGGGGATAGCCGAGCTAACAGGCATTTCTGTGCTTTTGCAGGCTGTCGCAGGCTGGGCTCTCCAGAGGCACAGCTGCAGTTGAGAGAAGCTAGCTGGCCAAGCCTGAGTGGGGAAATCAGCGAGGTGCCAGGCTCTTCCCTAGTTCTCTGAGGCAGTGCCATTCAGAAGAAGGGATAGAGGACACAGGTGTCTTCCATCTCCATTTCCCTGACTCTTATCCCCAAGCTCAGCCCAAGCCCTCCTCCTTCCCTGGTCAAGGAAGGCAGCAAAACCCAAGGGACTAAGGGTCCTCACTGGGTAAGCCATGTGAGTAATTGGTGATTGGATTCCATGTCAGTCCTAGCAGAAGAGGTTGAAGAGAAGCTGGGAGTGATGACAGAGAGAAAAGGGAGCAGTATGGAGTCCCTGCAGATCAGGGTGAAGCAGACCCTGAGGTCCAAGTCACTAAGGGGACATTTGTGTTCTGAGCCCTTGAAACCCAGAGGAACTGTGACTTGAATTTGGAACGTACAGACAGGTGCAACCTTTCTCAGCATTACAGAGTATAGTAGTCTACCCTTATCTATGGGGGATATGTTCCAAGACCCCCAGTGGATGCCTGAAGCCACAGATAGTACCAAACCTTATATATACTATGTTTTTTCCTACACATACATATCTATGATAAAGTTTAATTTATAAATTAGGCACAGTGAGAAATTAACAACAATAACTAATAATAAAATAGAACAATTATAACAATATACTATAATAAAAGTTACCATAGATCTTAGCAACCTCGGCATATGATTTTTTTCTTTCCTTATTAAGTCTAGAACTTCTACCTTTTCACTTAAAAGAAACACTTATGGCTTCTCTTTGGCACATCCAGATTGCCAGCATCACTACTCTTGTGCTTTGGGGCCATTATTAAGTAAAATAAGGGTTACTGGAACACAAGCACTGCGATACCATGACAGTCGATCTGATAACTGAGATGGCTCCTAAGTGACTAACAGGCAGGTAGCGTGTACAGCATGGATACGCTGGACAAAGGGATGATTCATGTCTTGGGTGGGGCAGCGAGAGATTTCATCAAGCTACTCAGAACAGTGCACAACTTGAAACTTACAAATTGTTTATTTCTGGAATTTTCCATTTAATATTTTCAGACCACAGTTAACTACGGCTAACTGAAACTGCAGAAAGTGAAACTGTGGATAAGGGGGGACTACTGTAATCAACCAAAGCCAAGCCAGCCAGTGAAGAACTCTCTCCCGTCCGCTCTCCTCCCTATTTCCCCCTCCTTTTTTCTCCCCTCTTTTTCTCTCACTTCCACTCTCCCTTCCCTCACTTCCACTCTCCCTTCCCTACTCTCCCCTGCCTCCACCACAACTCGCCTGGCTATACTTCACAACTAGCCACAGGCAGAATTAAGCCCCTGCTCAAGACCAATCTGCATACAAATCCCCCAGAGTAGCTAGGACCCACCCAGGGTTACTTTTGTTGCTCCTGGAGAGGCCACCAGGTGTGGTGTGAGGCTCTGGTCTGGGGGAGAGACTGGCATCAATCTTCCCACCCTAGCTGTGCTCAGGAAATTACCTGATAACAAAACAGCATCCCACCTCACCACCGCCACCAGTATGGACCGTAGCAGCCTCACCATTGGTCGGGACCAGGGGAGTCCAGGCCCAGGTGACTTCAGGCTGTCTTATCATCCCTTTCCCTTTGTATTCCAGGGCTTTATTAAGCAGCCAGAGCAAAAATAAATCCTGTGGGCATTCCTTGCCAACTCTATTTTTAAACAAAATCAATTAAGTAATTATCTGAGTCCAACCCAGTGTGCTAAATAAAACTTGCCACTGCTGAGCGTCACCAGCCTGGGGATCCGGGGGCCTCTGGGCTTGGCAGGAGCGAGGCATCTTGGGATTAGGAAGAGAACCAGGGAGTCACACTTTTCCAACTTTTTATCCCATCACTTCCCACCATGGCTTGAGTCCTGGCTCCCTACTCCTGCTAACCACAACTCGACCCAGGAGGACTTGCTTGTTCCTATTTTCATACTTTGTCCATGATCGTCCCTAGATCTAGACTGTTGTCTTCTGGCCTCTCTAATAGTCTACACTCACCATCTCCTTCAAAATCAAAATCCAATTCACCTCATCTAGAAAACTTTAACTATCTTATATTTGTTGGTTTGTTTTGGTTTTATAATTGTTCTCTAGTAGATTTGTGCATGTGTGCCAGGTCACCATGACAAGAGTGTAAGACTAGACCTGGGTCCTCTGTTTCTGCTGTAGCCCTCATGGGGCTTAGCCCAGTGCTGGGCATAGAGTAGAGGCTCTATGAATGTCCACCGAATTAAGGAATCTGGCCATCTTATGCAGCTTTTTGGTTGCTATAGAACTGATGATGTTGGCCCAGGGAAATGGTTGGATTCTCCTGATGAGTCTAATCATTCAAGTAAGCACATATTAAGCACCTACTGCTCATATATTAAGCACCCATTTATTGAGCATCAACTGTGTGCCAGGAACTCTGCTTAATGTCGGGACTACAACGATTAAATAGGACATGGTCATTGTTCTCTGAGTTCACCATTTGATTGTGAAAGACAGACATCTTCTTTTTTTTTTTTTTTTTTTTAAAGATTTTGTTTATTTTATTTTTTCCCCCCAAAGCCCCAGTGGATAGTTGTGTGTCGTAGCTGCACATCCTTATAGTTGCTGTATGTGGGACTCGGCCTCAGGATGAACGGAGAAGTGGTGCCTCGATGCGCACCCGGGATCCGAACCCGGGCCACTAGCATCGCAGCGCGCGCACTTAACCACCAAGCCACAGGGCCGGCCCCAGACATCTTCAAAAATATGATAAGAGCACTGAGAGGGGTGTCTATAAGTTGCTGTAAGAAGACATGGGAACACCAGGGCCAAGTACCTGACGATATTGAACCGGTCTTTACAGAATTCATATTTAAGCTGCGTTTTGAAAGATGGGTAAGAGTTTGCCAAGGGGAGAAAGAGGAAGGCAGAAGGAACCATCTTTATGTCACAGATATTTTTTGAGAATTTAACATGCACCACTCTATAAGTAAAGAAATGCCTGGGCCCGGAAAACTCTTGCTAAGGAGTTATCAGGTGTTCAAAAATGGGCTCTGCCGATGGTTCTCAGTCAGGGTCAGCACTGCCTACTCTCAGAGAGCTTTGGGAAGTGTCTGAGGGTGTTTTTGGTCATCCCAACAACTTGGCGTGCTGTTGGCAGTTAGTGTCTTAGGGTCACAGATGCTAAGGGTCCTGCAGGGAGTGGGACAGTCCCTGAATGACAAATTGTCAGAGGTATAGAGGCATGAAAGAGCAGAGTGGGTACCTGGAATGGCAAGACATGACTCTGGAGAAGTAGGCAGGGGCCAGGTCAGAAAGGACCTAGGATGCCATGAGGGAGGGAGAATGGCAGAGCAAAGGCATGGATGTGGAAGTGATCTTGATGTGTGAAGGGCCTGGTGGAAAGGGCGGTGTCAGAAGATAAGAGCAGGTGAGTGAGGTGGGCTCCTGAGGAGGCCATCCATCAGCCCTTCAGTGTGTGGTGGTCTCTCTGGGCCAAGCACCGCCCTAAGCTGTGAAGCTTTGAGCCACAGTAGAATGTGGGTACGCTATGACATCAAATGAAGGGTGAACTTTTGATATGGCCCAATGTCTTCTTGGAGAATTTGGTTCTGGTCTCCACATAACGTTATTATTGATCTGCTCTTTCCTCTGTCTCTTTGTCCTTCCATACCTTTGGCTTCCTGTCTCCTTCCCTTGCTCCTCTCTCTTCCTTTCTACACCCCTCCTCTGGCTTCCATCCTTCTAAATGAGCCCCTCTCCTTGTCCTTCCCTTGCCTGTTCACAGAAAATGATGAAGAAGGAAGCTCTTCTCCTCATCCCCAATGTCCTGAAGGTTTTCTTAGAAAATGGGCAGATCAAGTCATTCACATTTGATGGCCGGACCACTGTAAAGGTACATACAGAGTCTCCTACCTTCACTGGAGCACACACAGCTTCTGGTCTGCAGGTTCCTCTGAGTCTGCACCAAGCTGCTTGCTGCTGGAGCAAGGTGGCTTTTGAGCTCCCGCTGCTGTGAGCACCAGGCTGCAAAAACACAGTCCTCAGATGAGGATGGTGGGGGAATAGTCTTTATGTGGGGGAAATTTGTGTGCCCAGCTGTGTGCTAGTGATTGTAAATGTGTGTGTGTGTGTGTGTGGGCACGCGTGTGTGTGGGCACGCATGTGTGTGTGTGCAGGTGCGTGTGCACACATCTATTTGGGAACTGCTTTGTGTCCGTGTTACGCTGGGCCCTTCAAGACTCTTAGGAGCTAAGGAGTGTGAAGATCATTAAACCATTTATAAAGCAAAAGTGATTTATATTGATACAATAACACCTATGCAAATTTACACATAGAAATCAACAAACACAGTGTCTTGGGAGATTAGCTTAGCCATGCCTTGCTTCTTAAATAACAACCAGATCTTAAGCACTGAACCAAGATTTGAAAAGTCCAGCAACAGTCCCTTTGGCTGTTCCTTTCACAGGAAGAGCAATTACTGAGCTGTGATTCTTAATGGCTCAGCCAGGCATCTAAAAGTTGTAGTGATACCCTTAGTCCTGAGGAGGAGAGGCGATGATATGATTAACCCCCAGGTTCCACTTTGCTGTGGGACAGAAGTATCCACTCATGCTTCTTCTAGACTCTTTCCAGAAGGAGAGTGCTATCCCCAGAATGAATGTTTCCATGCAAACGATGCTGCCCAAGTGTTCAGAACTGGCCTTGCCAATGGTTCTCAGCCAGGGTCAGCACTACTCCCTCCCAGACGGCTTTTGGGAATGTCTGAGGGTATTTTGGGTCATCCCCACTGTTTGGCGTGCTACTGGCATTTAGTGTCTCAGGTCAGAGAGGCTAAGTGTCCTACAGGGAGTGAGACAGTCCATGAATGATGAAGAATTGTCCTGCCCAAAGTGCCAGCGGCACCTGAGTTGCAAAACACTGGGCCTAACCTGTGTTGATTGAACTGAGAGTTTCTTTGGAAGGCTTAGGCCTGGGTGGGTCCCCCAGGGGATCTAGGACAAAAACACACCCCTTAGGGTGCCCTGGGATGGTCTCTTGGCTATTGAAGGTCTCAGTTTATGGGAGAGGCATGGAAATGGAACTAGGCCACCCAGGGATGTCCACGTGCCCCTCCTCTGGATGTGGATATCTCTCTGTGTTAGAATCCTCCTTGGTTTTTATTCATGGGTTGGTATGCCCGTTGCAGATCTGTCTCCACACTGAAGCATTTACTCCTCTCTTTCCCCTTGGAGGCTTCTCTGAGCGTTCTCCTACTTCGCAACATCACCACCATTGTTGCTTCCAGGTAGCCCCAGCCTTCCAGGACAGCAGTGTCCCCTGACTTGTGATCTCACCCTGACTTCAGGGGGTGCAGTGACTATTCACTGGAACTTGGACAGGCTGCCAAGCCACTTGTCTTAGAGAGATACCTGGGTGAATTGACAGCCTTGGCACGGGGCCGTTACACTTGTAACACCAGTTGGCAATCACCAGCTTGGCTGTCCACAATCCCAGTGCAGCCGAACTGCAAAGAAAACCTCATTTGTCCCTGCCAGAGCTCCAGCAACACTGGCGCTCCTGTGACTACTTGGATAATACAAAGAGATACTCTCAAGTACCCACCAGTTTCCATCCTAACATTTGAATGGCTAAGCGTCTTTTAATGTTCGCTGAGGGGCTTGTTTGGCAAGCCTGGCTGTAAGGGAGCTTCTCATTCCCAAGCCTGCTTCTTTCCAGCCTTTGGGGGCTGAGCGATGCTGACTCCACGAACACACACACTGGAGCCCAGTGTGCGCCAAAGTCACAGCAGATAGATGGCAGGAGTCTCAAAACTGACGTTTGGGCAGCCCCCACGGATATGTTTCCAGACACCCTAATATTAAAAGTAGGGCAGCAGAGCAGACGGAGCCCAGAAGTAGTCAGATTTATGACTGTACACAAGACATGTGACATAGTTCCTCTGCCTGGACACATTTTTCAAGTTGCTAAACTGATCATCTCTAAAAGCCATCTACAATCAAAAATGAACATTTTGCCAGTAACTCAAGTCATTCAATTTAGATTATGAATCCAGAAATAGTCTACTTTTTATTTATATAATTGTGGATTTTTCTTTTTTTAATTGCTAAGTTGATGGACAAACCAGAGTGAACATTGTGACTTATGCGAGAAGGTGAGGGAAGAACTAGTACAGTGCCTGGCACATAGTAAGCACTCAGGAAATAATTTGTTGAATAGAAGGAGAGAGGGAAGGCCATTACTTCTTTTGCCATATGCCTAGTGAGGCCAAGTGCAGAAACACCCCCTCCAGCTCCTGCTCCTTTGGTGTTCCCCAGGGCCCAGGCCTCTGAACAGCACTGATGGGTCACTCTCCTTATCCTGGAGCACAGTGCCTGGGCCACCATAAAGGCCGGTGTCTGTCTGGCCCACTTTCCCAGCCTCAGCCTTCTCCCCAGGACTATCTTTCTTGGTATTCCGTCTCCCTCTTCCACATTTAGTGCTTAGAGTAGCTTAGACCTGGAATGGATCTCCCTGTCAAGGCTCTTTTTTCTTCCACAGGATGTGATGGTGACATTACAGGACCGTCTTTCCCTGAGATACATTGAGCACTTTGCTCTTGTCCTTGAGTATGCCGGGCCAGAACAGAACCACAAGTTCCTGCTTCTCCAGGACAAGCAGCCCCTGGCTTATGTAAGTGACTCCTTCATCCTGGATTGATACCTTTGCATGTGGCCTCTACATGAGAAGAGGACTTCAGGCACTCTCTTTCTGGAAAATTCATAATAGTATGCCCAACCAGTTCCCAGAAGTCACAGTTCTCAATCAAGTTCTGTTCTTCCCACCTCCAGAGGGCTTTGGGCAATGTCCCTTGTGACCTAAAATGGGCATGAAGATTGTCAGTTTTGGTCTCTACTGGGAAAAGTGCGGGGTGGTGATTCACTGCACTGCTCCCGGATTGCTGAGTTGAAGGGCAGTGTCAACTCTCCTGCCTCCTGGAAGCCCTGCCTGCTAGACTTTTCTGCCTCTGAGAGGAAACGTGGCCCTCAGGTGAAGGCTGTAATATGGAAGGGTCGGTGAGTGGAGTCTATTGAGACCAGTGAGGCGAGGACAAGTATGGGCTGGGAATGGCCTGAGTGGAGCCAAGAATGGGCAGCATGTCACCCACGTCAGCTTTCAAGGCAGAGTAGGAGCAAGAGTCTTATCTCCCTAGCCTTTGCCATATGGAAAAGGGCTGGGGAAATTCAGGATTGCTGGATAGTATTTCACCAACGGTGAAGCACCAAGAAGAGCCAGAGAGGCAGCCACGGTCAATCAGTATTCCTGGAGAGGGAGGGGGAAGAGTTAGAGAGGGACAGTTAGGAAGAAATGTCTAATGGAAGCAAAACAAAAACCAAAATCAGACACAAAAAATGAAAAGATTTTAGGAAAGAAAAATTCTTCAAGTGTAGCTCTCAGCCAAATGCTGTACAGAGACTTACAGGTTCCCACCTGTGAAGGGAAGGTTGTGGATGTCTTGCCTGGAGGGAGGCCTGAGCGCCTCCTGGCCCCTCAAGAGGCCTTTTGGGTCCAATTAGTCTCTTGTTCCAAATGGGATTTTAAACTTTATTACAAACAAACAAACAAACAAACAAACAAATAAACCTCAAACATACACCAAAGTAGAACGAGTTGTATAATGAACCCTCATTACCCATGCCAGCTTCAGCAGTTACTGAAATATTGCCAACTTGTTTCAGCTCTACCTCCAAATGGGATTTTAAATCTTTGATTTGGCTTCTAATCAGCAACTTACTTTGCTTGAGGCTGAGCCCCTCTGCAAGGTAAAGGCATTAGCCCCACAGCAAGAAAAGAGTTGGGGAAGTTCCCAGAAGCCCTTTCTTCCTACCTAGTGTCTTGGGCCTTAGATTGTTGATAAAAGGCCAAGTCCTGGATAAGTGATTTGAAAATTCTAGTCACTTTGGGTCAGAAGGCCAGAAAAGAGCTGGCTCCTCATCACTTTCCCCTAAAGGTAACTAGAATCAGCCAGGCAGGAGACAGAGTGGGAAACAGCATCCCAGTTCTTCCCTAAACCCCCCCTTGAAGAGCCACTGCGCTGGCTCCCACCACCTCAGCCATTGATCCCAGATCTCTTTTCCTCCCACCTCTTGTCCCTGCGATTCAGGTGGTGCAGCGGACACACTATCAGGGAATGAAATGCCTCTTCCGGATAAGCTTCTTTCCCAAAGACCCTGTGGAGCTGTTGCGTCGGGATCCTGCTGCTTTCGAGTACCTGTACATTCAGGTAGAGTCTGGCTTGGGGATACACAGACAGACAGACCAATGGACTAACAAGCAGGCAGGCTGTTCTGCCATCACAATGAAGTCGCTATGTAAGTTTTCCCAATCTCCAGGTGGCTCTGAAGGTCCTTTCCTTTTCTGCTACCATTATAGGCCAGGGCCAAGTTGGTTGGCCTGGTGACCTGAGCTGACTGTGGCTCCAAGTCTTGTCTGTTTGTCTGGACAGATCGCATCAGTTTTCAGGAGCAAGCGACCCCACTAACTCTAGCACCATGACAGGATCCCCAGGTTTAATAAGCCCATTTGGGTAACAGAGGGTCCCAACCCCCAATGCCGAGATCCAATAAGGAGATGATTCTCAATTTAGTTCATTGAGAAGCATTTGCTGAGCACGTAGTCTGGGCCAGGCCCTGTGCTAGGTGCTGGCAATCAAGGTGAACAAAGAACTGTTCTGGCTCGCTAGAGCTCCTAGACAGATATGAGCCCAAATGAATATAAGACAGTGTGACAGGCACTGTGATGATGGCAGGGTGCAATATCAGTAGGGGCACCCAGGAGTTTGCAAACTCTCCATGGGAGGGGCATAGTGAAGGCTTCACATAGGAAGTGATACATGCACACTCTTAGCCTTGAAGGATGAGTGGATGTTTGCTGTGTGCAGAGATGCAGTGGAGGGGGCACATTCTAGGAAAAGGGACTTGCATCTTCAAAGCCTTGGTGGCATGAAACAGCACAGCGTGATGAGAGAACTGTGAGTAATTTATTAGGGATGGAGTGCAGAATGTGAAGTAAGGAGCAGCAGGAAATGGAATAGGGGAAACTGGAAGCAGGTGGTAAAGGTCATGGCAAGCACAGGCTTTAAAATGGTTTAGGCTGGGCAGTGATTCTCACAGTGTGGTCCCTGGACCAGCAGCATCAGCATCAACCAGGAACTTGTTAAAGATGCAAATTCTTGGGCCCCACTCCACTCCTACTGAATCAGAAACTCTGGGGGTGAGCCCTAGCAATCTGTGTTTTAGCAAGCCCTCCAGGGGATTCTGCTGCCTGATGGTGTGTGGCAACCACTACTTTAGGGCAGTGCATCTTAACCCTAGCTGCACATGAGAATTATCTGAGAAGCTTTGAAAAAGAAGGGTTCTACTCCACCCAAGACCAAATAAAGCAAAATCTATACGAGTGGGGTCCAAACATTGATATTTTAAAAATTTCTCAGGTGATTCTAATGCACAGCCATGGTAAAGAAATTCTGCTGTAGCATGGGGGCACAGAAATGTGGAAAGGTGAATAGCCTACTCAGATGAGCAATTTCAAAAGATCACATAGTGCTGAGGAAGCACACCAGCTAGGGAGCTATTGCAGTTACCCACAAGAGAAATGATGGGGGCCGGAACCAGGGCAGTGATAGTGGTGGTGGGATGAGATTCAAGAGATATTTAAAAGGTAGAACCGATAGGCTTTGACTCAATGAGTGTCTGGTAGAGGTGGTATCGTTCGCCGAGTTAGAGAACACAGGTAGTGGAATGGGTATGGGGAAAAGATGAGTTCACTTTGAGATATGTTGAGTTTTAGGTGCCTATAGGACATACAGAGTGCTTCATGAGAGGGAAAAAACTTCAAAACTCATCTCTGATGATGTCTCTGATAGAGATACCTGGAGATGTGCTATGAGACATCGTGATTGTCCTTTCTGCCCCTTCTGACAACGCCAAATGTTAGGAACATTTCTCAAACAGCCTCAGGTTCCTTTACCAGCACTCTAGGGGGCAATGAGTTGTGGTTCCTCTGTGAATTTTATAAATTTAGTTCTTACTTTGCCCTAAATTTCTTCATTCAAGTTTCCAGGGATCATCTTAGTTCGAATATTTTGGAATTTGGTGACAAGACCATGTCCACCCTCTCTCTCCCCTTTGTGATGATATGGACTTCAGCTTTATTCCTTCTTGTTTATATTGAACAGCTTGATTGAGGTCTAATTGACACATAGCACACTGCACATATTTAAAATGACAATTTGATAAGTTTTGACATATGTTTATACCCATGAAACCATCACTGCAATCAAGATATTGAACATATTCAACACCTGCAAAAGTTTCCTCAGGCTCCTTTGTAATCTGTTCCCCTCTGTCCCCAGGCAACCACTGACCTGCTTTCTGTCACTGTAGATTAGTTTGTATTTTCTAGACGTGTATGTAAATGAAATAATACTGTATGTACATTTATTTTGGTCTGGCTTCTTTCACTCAGCATAATGATTTTGAGATTCATCCATGTTGTTGTGTGTATCAGTAGTTCATTCCTTTTTATTGTTGAGTAGTATTCCATGGTATGGATGTACCAACATTTGTTTATCAGTTCACCTGCAGTGGGACATTTGGGTTGTTTCCAGGTTTTGACTACTACAAAGAAAGCTTCTATGAACATTCATGTACAAGTCCTTGTATGATGTATGCTTTCGTTTCTCTTGGGTAAATACCTAAGAATGGAATGATTTGATCATACAGTAGATCTACCTTTCTTTAATTTCTTAGAGGAACTCCAATACTGTTTTCCAAAGTGGCTGTACCATTTTATATTCCTACTAGCTATGTATGAGAGTCCCAGTTTCTCCACATCCTCATCAGTACTTGGTATTGTCAGTATTGTTTTTTATTTTAGTCATTCTAATAGTGTGCAGTGGTATCTCCTTGTGGTTTTCATTTGCATTTCCCTAATGGCTAATGATGTTGAACATCTTTTAATGTGCCTATTTGCCATCATGCATCTTTTTGGTAAAGTGTCTATTCAAATCTTGTAGCCACAGTTTTATTGGGGTGTTTGTTTTCTTATTATTGAGTTTTGAGAGTTATTTATATATTCTGGATGCAAGTTGTTTGTTGGATATGTTATTTGCAATTATTTTCTCCCAGTCTCTGGCTTGTCTTTTCAGTCTCTAAACAGTGTCTTTTACAGAGCAAAAGTTTGAATTTTGATGAAGTCTAATTTGTCAATTTGTTCTTTTATGGATCGTGCTTGTGGTGTCATATCTGAGAAATCTTTGCCTAACCCAAGGTCACAAAGATTTTTCTCCTATTTCTTCTAGAAGTTTTATTATTTTAGGTTTTACATTTAGGTCTTTGATCCATTTTGAGTTAACTTTTGTTTGTGGTACAAGGTATCAATCAAACTTCTTTTTTTTTCTTTTGCGTATGGATATCCAATTGTTCCAGCACCGTTTGTTGAAAATACTATCCTTTCTCCACTGAATTGCCTTTGCATCTTTGTCAAGAATCAGTTGTCTATATATGTGTAGGTCACTTCTGAACTTGATTCTATTTCACTGATCTACTTGTCTATTTTTATGCCAACATCACACACTTTTGATTACAGTAGTTTTATAATAAGTCTTAAAATCTGGTAGTGTTTGTCCTCCAACTTTGTTCTTTTTCAAAGTTGTTTTGGCCATTCTAGGTCCTTTGCATTTTCATGTGAATTTTAGAATTAGCTTGTCAATTTCTACCAAAAAGCTATTGTGATTCTGATTGGGATTGTGTTGAATCTATAAATCAGTTTGGGGAGAATTGACATCTTAATAATATTGAGTCTTGCAACCCATGAACACAGTATATTTCTACATTTATTTAGGTCTTCTTTAATTTTTCTCAGCAATGTTTTCTAGTATTCAATGTATAGGTCTTTCACATATTTTGACTAATTTATCCCTAATTATTTCATAATTTTTGGTGCTATTGTAAATGTGTTTTTTGTTTGTTTTTTGTTTTTGTTTTTGTTTTTTGGAGAGGAAGATTGGCCCTGAGCTAACATCTGTTGCCAATCTTCCTCTTTTTGCTTGAAGAAGATTGTCCCTGAGCTAACATCTCTGCCAATCTTCCTCTATTTTTTGTATGTGGGACGCCACTGCAGCATGGCTTGTTGAGTGGTGTGTAGGTCCACACCCAGGCTCCAAACCCATGAACCCTGGGCCACCAAAGTGGAGTATGCAAACTTAACCACTACACCACCAAGCTGGCCCCCAAATGTTTTGTTTGTTTGTTTGTTTGTTTATTGCAGTAACATTGGTTTATAACATTGTAAAAATTTCAGGTGTACATCATTGTACTTCTATTTCTGCATAGATTACATCATGTTCACCACCAAAATACTAATTACAACCCATCACCACACACATGTACCGAATTATCCCTTTCACCCTCCTCCCTCCCCCCTTCCCCTCTGGTAACCACCAATCCAATCTCTGTCCCTATGTGTTTGTTTACTGTTGTTATTATCTACTACTTAATGAAGGAAATCATACGGTATTTGACCTTCTCCCTCTGACTTATTTCACTTTGCATTATACCCTCAATGTCCATCCATGTTGTCACAAATGGCTGGATTTCATCGTTTCTTATGGCTGAGTAGTATTCCATTGTGTATATATACCACGTCTTCTTTATCCATTCGTCCCTTGATGGGCACTTAGGTTGCTTCCAAGTCTTGGCTATTGTGAATAATGCTGCAATGAACACAGGGGTGCATGTACCTTTACAAATTGGTGTTTTCAAGTTCTTTGGATAAATACCCAACAGTGGAATAGCTGGATCATATGGTAGTTCTATCTTTGATTTTTTGAGGAATCTCCATACTGTTTTCCATAGTGGCTGCACCAGTTTGCACTCCCACCAGCAGTGTATGAGAGTTCCCTTCTCTCCACATCCTCTCCAACACATGTTGTTTCCTGTCTTGTTAATTATAGCCATTCTGACGGGCGTGAGGTGATATCTCATTGTAGTTTTGATTTGCATTTCCCTGATAGTGATTTTGAACATCTTTTCATGTGTCTGTTGGCCATCTGTATATCTTCTTTGGAGAAATGTCTGTTCAGGTCTTTTGCCCATTTTTTAATTGGGTTGGTAGTTTTTTTGTTGTTGAGATGCATGGGTTCTTTATATATTTTGGAGATTAAGCCCTTATCAGATGTATGGTTTGCAAATATCTTCTCCCAATTGTTAGGTTGTCTTTTCGTTTTGTTGATGGTTTCCTTTGCTGTGCAGAAGCTTTTTAGTTTGATGTAGTCCCACTTGTTTATTTTTTCTATTGTTTCTCTTGCCCGGTCAGACGTGGTGTTTTAAAAGATGTTGCTAAGACCGATGTCGAAGAGCGTGCTGCCTATGTTTTCCCCAAATGGTTTTGATTTTTAATTTAAATTTCTGTTTGTTGCAAGCATGTAGAAATACAATTAGTTTTTGTATATTGATCTTATATCCTGCAACTTTGCTAACTCATTATTTCTAGTAGTTTTTTTGTAGATTCCATTGGATTTTCTAAATAGATGATCATTGATGAAGCATTCCTTTCCACTCTCTCCTATGCTGTAGTGATACCACTGTAACTCCCTAGTACCATAGCTCGTCCTGGTTTCACCTCAACACAATGGGCAACTGGTCTAACCAAGGCTGAATCATTGATAGCTGGAATTCTGACCTTCAGGGTTTGGGAGTTGTCATACCCTTGGCCAGTAGTTCCAGGGGACCCCTTTTAGGATAGTATTGAGAAGACTGACTCATCATTGCTTTTGACCTTCAGACCCCAGGGAACAGAATATCTGCCCCATCCCTGCAATCCATCTCTCGCCCTGGACTTCTGGGCCAGAAACCTGTAGAGAGCCCCTCCCAATGTCTCTCTTCCTTTGTTTCCATCTGAACTAGTAGAGGAGACTTGTATGGCTGGGGAGTGAGTATAGGCCCCCAAGAAAAGGTAGATAAGCCTCTTGTAATGGGAGGAAAGAAAGAGAGAGGTGCCATGTCTCACTTTTGCAGAGACCTAGATGTGCCTTGTGCCTTGCCATTGTGTGCACCTGTCACTGAGAACAAGGCTGTCCAATATCTGCTGAATGAAGTAAATAGTATCTCTGAGACCCAAGGTTCCTCTGTTTTTTATTCCCCAAGGGCAGAACCTTCCTCTTCTCCTTGGTCTAGAATGTCTTACTGACACCATGATTCTTTTCTGGGATGTAAGGGAGTAGATCAGGGGGGTATGGAGGTATTGTCTCCTTTAACTGACAGATTTGGACTGCCTTCTCTCACAGAGTCGGAATGATGTTATCCGAGAACGCTTTGGAATGGACCCCAGGCCGGAGATGCTTTTGGGCCTTGCTGCCCTTCACATCTATATCACTGTCTCAGCCACACGACCTAGTCAGAAGATCTCACTCAAGAATGTAGAGTGAGTTGCGCCGGGGCCCTTAGGGATGGGGGCAAATAGCTGTGTAGGGAGAAAGTGCAATGGTTGAACTGTGCTGTGCTTTTTGGGAATGTAGCTCTGGGATGGGAGTGAGAATTGGAGTTCCTCACACCTAGACCATGATGCCCTTGAGCTACAGCTTCTACTAGGAAACTGTGGCCAGTGTTATTCTCCTGCCCCAACCCTCTTTCTCTTTCTCCTAGGCTCCATTCCTCCACCTTTGCCTCTCAGATTCAGTCAGTTTCTGCCTTACCATCTTCCTTTCTCTGTCCCACTTTGCCTCTCTCACTAATTTCTTACTTTTCTTCTGCTTTTAGGAAGGAGTGGGGCCTGGAACCCTTTCTTCCCCCCTCCCTCCTGCAGGGCATCAAAGAGAAGAACCTCCGGAAATCTCTCTCTCAGCAACTGAAGGCCCACCAAATACATCCTTCCAGCAGCACCAAGGTACCCAGAGTAGGCCATTGGGTACCGTGCTCAGGCACTAGCGGCCATGGGGGACTCTTGCGTGGTTTCCCAGCAGGTCTGGTCTTCCGGGGATCCTCCCCGCTGTTTTTGACTTGGGTACACATCCAGCTTGGCTGGATATGGGGGACGATTGTGGAGAGGAGTTTTCCCTAAGCCTGAACCTCCCCCAGAGACCGTTTAGTAGCCAGCCATGGAGAGAGCACAGGGTCCTCAAAGTAAAGGGGCCAAGATGTAGGAGGAGAAAATTCTGGGGTCATTTCACCCATTTAGTCTGTGCTGATTGGGCACCTACCGAGTGGGCAGCACTGGACATTGGGGAAGCACATGTTTTCCATGGAAATGACTGCTCTGTCCCTCATCAGCTTTCTAATTCATCAGTCCTAGGATCGGGAATTCTGGGAGATAAAAGTCTAGCCCAGTGGAACAAGGCCTGCCCTGGACAGTGGGTCACTGGGCGGTATGCTGAGGCCTTAGGTCACTGCTGTGCTCTCCTGCACTTTATCAGGTGCCCTCAGAGGTACTCCTACTCCCTGTTCCCCCAACTCTGCAGGCCCTTCTCAGGCTTGTAAGGCTCAATCTGCTTGTACTTCCTGCCCAGGAGGCAGGAGCGTGATGAGAGGCACTAGAATGGGCATGCAAATGCAGACACAGGACACAGTCGCCCCCATATATTCCACCCATTCCAGCTTCCTTGCATTACCAACTAGCTTCTCTTTTAAGATGCAAATTTCCCCAGAGAGTTAAGCCATTTCTACCTTGCTGTGCATATTTAATCAGATTATTTTCTTCCCAGTGGAGAGCATCAATGCTCCCAACCATCTCCTCAGCAAACATTTTTTTGAGGCTCCCCAGTGTTCGGGCTGGAGATACAAAGATGGAGAAGGCCTGGTCTCCGCCCTCTAGTCAGGCACAGGGCGGTGGGGAAACATGACAGTCAGTCACAACATAGTGTTCCAGGCATGGGTGCTCTGGAAGCACGGAGGAGGAACACCCAGCCCAGCCCTAGGGAAGTGGAAAAGGCCAGGAATTGGTGCATTTGATGCCAGAGCTGCGTCTTGAAGGACAGATGGAGTTTGTCTAGATGAGTTGGGGGTCGGGGGAGAAAGACTTTCCCAGGCAGGGTGATCCATCTGTATAAAGACCTAGGGATATGAGAGAACACTGTGCATGGAAAGAAATGCAAATAGTCCAGCATAAGCAAGTACAGAGAGTGCTAGAAACATGCCTGAGTTGGGGTAGGGGCAAGAGAGAAGGCCAGAGAGGTTGGCAGGAGCCAATTCATGGAGTGCCTTGTGTGCCATGGAAAGGGGTTATACTAGGCATCAGGGAGCCATTGAGGGGTTTAAGCAGGCAGCTGATGTAATTAAACGGATGTTTTAGGATGCTCCCTCTAACTGCAGTGTGGAAGGGTTGAGGGAAAGGAGTGTCAATACTGAAGGTAAGCTGACTGCCACCCTGACACAGGTGGGGGACATCAAGACAATGACTGTAGGGCTAGAGAAGAGGGATGGATAGGCTGGAGAGGGAGTTAGGATGTAGACTCAAGATGATTTGGTGACTGGTGGCCCTCAGATGACAGGACGAGAGAAGAGTCCAGTGTGACTCACAGGTTTCTGGCTTGAAGGCCTGGGGAAGCCGGTACTACCCATAGAGATTTTTCTATAAGGGGGAAGGTTTTTTCTATAAGGGTGCTCAGGATTAAAGGTATTGAGTGGGACCCCTAGCTGGGGATAGACAGTACCTACGTGGCTATTGGGGATCTCAGGAAAGAGCTATAGATGAGGTAGGGTGTCAGAGTTGGGGAAAGGTGTTGGAATTAACCTAACAACAAAATGAGTAAGCTGGATTCTTAAGGAATGAGGATCAGGAGGCAAAAGAAGAGGTTAGAAAGGGAGATGGGATGCTAGGGGCAAGAGCTATCCAAACTGGAAACTTCTTGCAGTTTTTCCGAGGGTCTCCTCCCACAGTGTGGCTTGCTGAATAGTCTGACTAGTGCCTGTCCTGAGGTGTTGACGCTCCTTCCTGAGAACATGGGTATGCATTTCCTGTGCAACTCAGGTGTCTCATATTTCTGGGTGGGTTGTTTCCACAGGGCTCTGCAATTCAGGCAAAGCTCCAGTATCTTCGAATTCTGAATGAACTTCCGACCTTCACAGGCGTTTTGTTCAACACTGTGGGCCTGGTCAGTGAGGGCTGTAGGGGGGAGGGAGCCCTTTGTCCTTGGGTTGGGGGATAGGAGGGATTCCAGTAGAACTTTAGAGTAGCATTCTCTGTCAGCAAATATTTCTGAAGGCCTTCCCTCCTCTTCCTCCTTCTCCCTCTCCCCTCCTGTGATGCTCTGGTCCTGCCTCTGGTAAAATGGTAAAGTAAGAGGCAATATTTGTTTTTAGTATCCCTCCATGATCCTTTTGTGTCCCCTTTCCTCGATTTCAGCAGTCAGCAAACTTTTTCCATAAAGGGCCAGATAGTAGTAAATATTTTAGGCTTTGCAGGCAGGCCATGCAGGTCTCTGTCCCAACTACTCAGCCCTGCCATTGTAGTGTGGAAGCAGCCATAGACAATGCATAAACAAGTCAGCGTGGCTGTGTTCCAATATCTCTTTATTTATGGACACTGAAATTTGAATTTCATGTGATTTGCACATCTGACAAAATATGGTTCTTTTGAATTTTTTCCAACCATTTAAAAATGTAAAAAACATTCTTAGTTTGTGGGCTGTACAAAAATTGGTAGTGGGCCAGATTTGGCCCCATGGGCCAGAGTTTGCCAACCCCTGCTCTTATTTCATTGCCCTTCCCAATACCCCCGCAGCCCCCCACTTCAGGCTTCCTGAGTCCACATACTTCCCCCTGCCTGTCCAGGACCTCCACTGCAGCAACCCCCCTCTCAGGCAGGTGGGGCACAGCTGGCCCCCCTAAGACTTTCCCTTCTGCTAGTTTACCCTAGTGAGCTGTGGTGAAAGGAAATTCACATCATCGTGCTGACTGGATCCAGGTGCTTCTTATGCTCTGGGGAACACGCTGTCATGCTCGTGGGGTACACTGATAGAAAGCCGCTTATCAAAGAAAGTGTCTATAGCAGATGGAAGACGTTCCTTAGGGTAACGCTAATGCCAGGGAATGGGCCTGCATAGGGCTCTGGCTTGATGGCGCCAAGGAGCCTGTCAGGACCACTTAAGGGAATCCAGTCCCTCAGGCACAGAGGTAGCCATTTACATACTGAGATCTGAGGATCACTGAAAGCCCACTGCCCTCTTCCTCCACCCCCACACAACCCCCCACCACTGCTGAAATTCTTATAGGCCATTCCTGTGGGTTCAGATTGCTGTGGTGCCTATTGAAGGGCAAATATCTTCTTAGGAAGGGAGATCCCTCCCCCCATTAAGCACCCAATCAGCCCTTAACACCTTAGGCAGAGTTATTTTGTCAGTTGGGCTTTTGGCACTGATGAGAAGTGCAAGTTTGAGTGGCTGTTGTGGGAGAGGGGAGGTGGTAAAGATCAAACACAGGATGCCACTGTTCAGGCACAGCCCTGGGTAGGGGCCTTGAGAGGCCTGCAGCAACAAATGGAAAGTCCCCGGGGCTTGGTAGGAAGAGGGTGCTGCGAAGGCACCAAAACAAACCTCACCTACTTCACAATTTTGCTAGAGCCAGCCCTGCTGCTATCCACTTCACTCGACCTGCTGCTGAGGCTAAGGTGTCCATTTAGACCAATGATCTGGGGCCCTGCCCCAGGAATAAGGGTGTCTCAGATCATTTTTCCCTCAAGGTTGTCCTCCTGCCCTGGCACTGAGCCCCGGATGTTTCCAGACCTCCCAGCAGAACTGGTCCAATGCCTGTTTTCTATTTCCTCCTCTCCCCACCTCCTCTGCCCTTCTTTCTTTGAATGCTGCCCACCATGCTTGGGCACCAGGATGAGAAGCAGTCTGCCACCACTCTCCTGGTGGGACCCCGTCATGGCATCAGCCATGTTATTGACCTCAAAACCAACCTCACCACTGTGCTGTCCGAGTTCAGCAAGATCAGCAAGATCCAGCTGTTCCGGGAGAACCAGGGCGTGGCCCGGGTGGAGACCAGCATCATGGATGCCAAGGTAAGCCAAGCTTTGAGGGCTACTTCTCCCCAGGGATGGGCCTTGGGAACAGAGGAAGAAGTAAACTTAAGAAAGAGAGTTTGAGCCTGTTAGGTGAGGTTCAATGGTTTAGACCCTGGACCCCTTTGGGCTCATCTTTCTTTCCCTTCTCAACCCTATGGGACATGCTCTCTTGACCACATGTTAAGGTCAGCCAGTGCTAGGGGAGGCTGGGAAGTGTCAGATGAACTCACTAGAAGTCTTCAGCAGAGGACAGGAGAATTGGAGAACTTGGAGCTGCCCTCAGGCCATCGCTTCCCAATCTTTCTTGTGTCACAGCACACACAGATAATTACATTCATGTGGAACACTGGGGTAAATGGACCAGCTCCAGAGACTCTGGCCACCCCAGACCATGCCTGGCTGCCCCAGAGGCTGAAGGAATATGTGCACACCAGTTGGAGAGTCCCGCCATAGACATACACACTTGAAATCATGGAGAAGGAGGTGTCTGAGTATGTGGACAGAACCGAGGGGATCTGGGGACACACGGAGCAGGCAGAGGCTAGTCCTCATTTCACCTCCCAGACTCTGGCTCTTCCAGAGCCTTAGAACCTTTCCCACAGATCAGCTCCTTCAGACTGGCAAGCAGCTGTCGCCTGTGCGGAGTCTGGCAGCCGTGGTCAAACGCCCCCCTCCGTAGCTCTCCTGTTTGAACACCCAGTGACCAGTGTGGGTGGGGGGCAGGCCCGCCTGCCAGCTGGCGGAAGCTGTTAGAGGAGGTGCAACTTTCCTTTCATAAAGGATTTCCCAGGGGGAGATGTCGTTAGCAGATTAAGTGGAGTGTTTGCTATTTCTAAAAGAGCAAATTATTTACTTTATTTTTGTCTTTGTGAAACCCAGAAAGCTTTCATATGTTAATTTTCCACCTGTGATTCACAGGATTCCCATTGGTTTAGGAAGCTGCCTAGAGCTGACGTTTAATTGGTTTGTGGCCATTTCCTCAGCCAATGATTGCTGCCCTCCTCAGATGTTGTTGGGTGAAAAACCAAATGGACAGGTAGGGAGGGGGGAGGAAAGACAAGACAAGAGAGGGAGATGTGGCTTCCTGAGAAATAAAAAGGGTTTAAAACAGAGAAAGAGCTTTCCAGGTGAGTCTCCCTCTGTGTTCTACAAGTGATTCTCAATATTGGTAGCACAATAGAATTTCCCTGAGAGCTTTTTAAAAATACAGATGCCAGGGTCTTGCTCCCAGAGATTGTGATTTAATTGGTTGGGGTGCAGCCTGGGCATGATGATTTCCTTATTTTTCAGTTCCCCAAGTGATTCTGTGGTACAGCCAGGTTTGAGAACCACTCATCTCTGGGACCAGAGCTCTGGGAGGAACCAGGCCGAGCAGGGGGTTGGTGGGTGTTGCCTGAGTGAGGAGCACTATTCTCATTTCTAGTAGCAAGCCAGCCTCAGTTGTGGGCATGAATGCTGCCTTAGAGGGGCTACACACTTATTGGGGAGACTAGCCCCCCAAAGACACATGACCTGCCTTAATAACACAACATCAGAACATGTATGGAGCTCTGGAATCAGACAGACAATGTTCAAATCCCAGCTTTACCACTTCTTAGCTGTGTGGACTTGAAAAAGTGTCTTAACCTCTCTAAACACTGATTTCCTCAACTGCAAAATGGAGTGCCCATCTCAAAAGGCTGTCGTTCGGGATTAAATGAGAAAATGTACGTAAAATGTCTTAGCACACTGCCTGACACATAGTAAGTACTCAACAAATGAGAACTGTTATTTTTTGAAAAGCAAAACAGCAATGAAAAAAAGTTAATATGAAGTAAATTTTGTAGACAAGTATGGTGTAGAACATGGAACAAAAGAACATGAAGGGGTAGGGCGGGCCCCGTGGCTTAGCAGTTAAGTGTGCGCGCTCCACTGCTGGCGGCCCGGGTTCGGATCCCGGGCGCACACCGACACCGCTTGTCCGGCCATGCTGAGGCCGCGTCCCATATACAGCAACTAGAAGGATGTGCAGCTATGACATACAACTATCTCCTGGGGCTTTGGGGGAAAAATAAATAAATAAAATTAAAAAAAAAAAAGAACAGGAAGGGGTTAACCAGAACTGGCTTCCCACAAGAGAGTGTTTTAAGCTGGATCTTGAAGTGATAGGCATGGATTAGCAGAGAGAAGTGGGATGTGTTCACAGGCAGAGAGCAAGCATGGAAATAAGCAAGCCATATGTGCAGGTCGATAAGTATAGTTGCTTGGCTGGAGAGGAGAATAACGAGAAAAGAGATTGGAGAGATTGGGGTGGGCAGAACAAGCTGGATAAAAGCTTCGAAGGCCAGTCCGAGGAATTTAGATGCAATGTGATAGAATAGTGTAAATCCACTGTAGGCCCTTGAGCAGAGGAGTGAGAGAATGAAAGCTGACTTGGACCAGTGTGCCAGATGGATGGGAGCAAGGCTAATGTGAAACTAGGGAGGCGAGGAGGGGATCATGGTGCTAGTGCAGGGGTGAAGTGATAAGGGCAGGGCATGAGCTGGATGCAGTGGTAATGAAAAAGAGTGAATGTGAAACATATAGAATCACTAAGTGTGCACATGTATCCCCACACTCATTCCTCTCTTGCACATACAATGCACACATCTTATCACACCTAACCCTTATTGCCTGGTGCCTGTATCCTGAGTGCACTGAAGAAGGATGCTATGAGCGCAGCGCACAGAGGGTCCAAATCACAGGAGGGTGGAGAGGTGAGAGACTACATTAGGTGATAAATGGGAGATCATGTTGAGGAATGGAGGGGGCTTGGAGAAGGTTGCGCTTTGCTGAGTGGGAAACAGCGAATGATTAGGTAGGTGATACAACCATCATGTGGTAGATAGTTCAGGTATGCCCTACTTTAAGCAATTGATAAAATGCATATGAAAAAATCACAGGAGAATTATCCACTTTACATTAGAATGTTTCTGCTTTGTAAAAAGATTTATCATGTGCAGTAAGCAGACTAATGGCCCCCCCAAAGACGTCCGTGCCTTAATCCCCAGAACCCGTGAATATGCTGTGCTGTATGGCAGGAGGAAATTAAGGTTGCAGATGGAATTAAGATTGCTAATTAGCTGACCTTAAATTAGGGAGATTAGCCTGGGTCCAGTGTAATCACAGGGTCCTTATAAGTGGAAGAGGGAAGCAGACGAGAAGGTCAGTGTGATGCAGTGTGAGAAGGACTCAGCCTGACCTTGGTGGCCTTGAAGATGGAGGAAGGGGCCATGAACCAAGGAATGAGGGTGGCCTCTAGAAGCTAGAAAAGGCAAGGAAACCCATTCTCCCCTAGATCCTTCAGAAGGAACATAGCCCCACCTACACTTGATTCTAGCCCAGTGAGACTCATGTCAGACTTCTGACCTCCAGAACTGTAAGCAAATAGATATGTATTGTTTAAGCCACTAAGTTTGTGTTAATGTGTTACAGAAGCAAGAGGAAACTAATATAGCATGAGATTCCTTCAAGTAGGAAGCTCTCCTACACTATACTAAAGATGTGATTTGATTGATAAATGGTCTACTCACATTCAACTTTTACTACACAAAATCAGGCACATCTGTAATCAGAGATGTCTGCTATGTGCATCACTAGTTAGAAGTCAGTGCCCTATGAAACGGGCAGGGAAGTATTTATCCCTTTCTCATATAAATTGGCAGAGGCAGGATCAATGATATAGTGGTGGGAGGGAAAGAGGAAGATTGAGGGAGAAAAAAGATCCAGATTTCCATTTGACAGTCATTTAGTAAGAACCTACTGTTGCCAGAAAGCATGCTAAACTCAGTGGGAGATACAAAGATGAAAAAAAAGAAAAGAACGTGGCTCCTTGCTCCCTCAAGAAGCTTACTGTCTTGCAGGAGAGAAAGACGTACACCAATGCATGGCATACTGAAGGAGGTGCCATAGGAGAGGTACCAAGAGTGTGTTAGAGTACAGAGGAGAGCAAAATTAATTCTGGCTGGGGGATTAAGGAAAGCTCCCTGGAGGTGCTTTATATCAGCAATATCTATGGTTACCGAGGGGTGTCTCTCCCCATATATGTGCACAATGGGAAGGATTTGGAAGGACCGAGTCTGGGAAGCTCCTTACTAGAGAATGGCTTCACTGGGCTCAGTGGGAGTCTATCCTTAGCATCACTGTGGTGCTGTAACCAGTTCGCACAGGAGCATAAGAGCCAGTTGGGTGCATCTCTCCTAACTCTGCATTCAATGATATCACACTGATAACTTGAAAGTGTCCGTGGTGGGAGTATATACACCAGGGAAATTGGCAAACACTACAAATCAGAGAACTGGTTGTTAACGGTTGACCAGCACACCACTGCATAGGGTATACTGAAGACTGTCTGAATTTCCTTGACAAGGAACATGGAAGTCAGAAGCCAGACTTGGCCCATTTCCCCCTAGATATGCCACTCTGGTCTGGGAATATTCTGGAAGGGCCTGGTGAAACTAAGCTTATTTCCTTAAAACAGTAGTTCTCAGCTCTGACTGCACATTAGAATTATGTGTGGAGATTTAAAAACCACTGGACACCCAGGCCTTTCCTCTCAGACCATTTAAACTAGAATGTCTGGGGGTGAGGCCAGCAGTATATAGATTTTTAAAGCTTCCTAGGTAATTCTGATGTGCACCAGCCCTGAGAACCACTGGCTCAAGGTGATATTCTGCCTTGCTCCTCAAATTGGCTGCCCAATTAGCCTTTCCCAGTGCTGTGGAGGCAAAAATCCAAATGTACCAGTCCCCTGGGACTCAAAGACCATCATCTTGTACCCTCGCCCTTCTGACCCCCTGGATTCCCATCCCTTTCCTGTTTTCAGGGATGCTAGAGTGAGCTGAGGCTACCACAGGGCCAGTCCACTCACTAGTTGGCATCCCAAAGTGCTGGGTGCCTTCAAACTCCCAAAGCACCCTGGGAAGGAGATGGGGCTGGAGCATGTCAGATTAGCCCCTGCTATACCTTCTCACAACTGGCCATGCCTCCAACTCCATTCTCCTTTTCTCTTTTGCCATTTGAAGATGGCTTGGGCTTATTTAGTTACAGTTCTCACTCAGCTTACTTGCTCTTAGTGGAGTGAGTGTAAGGTAGTATGCAGATATCTTTCTCCAAGAGACAGCAGTCTGAGACTGAGGTACCATTGGGCCATTACCATACCCCATTACCACAGAAGCACACAAGGGGAGGGGGAACAAACCATCAAAGGAACGTCCCAAGGGATCTCTTGTGGCCCAGTGTGTTTCCTATTCTCATGTTTGAACTTGATTACTCTAGTGCTTTCTGTGGGGACAAGTATTACATTAGATGTCATGATCATTAAAATCCTATTTAAAATAAAATGTTGTTTTTGAAGGTTTCTAAGAAAACCTATTCAACCTCTTTGCTTGCCTGCCTTTGATTTGGTTTTTACCCCCGCTGGCAAAAAGCGCATCTGGGTTCCTTTTACAAGCTGCATTTGGCCCATACTGGGGCCCAGTTGGCTGTATGGGGAAGCAGAGAGGCTCCTGATGTGCTGTGCTGAGCCAGCTGAGGCTGCACTTAGCCCTCTCTGTGCACAAGATTTTGCCTTCGTGCTCCTTTATTACCGACATTGGGCTATATTTCGGGTAAGAAGTAAGAGGGGGAATTGAAGTGAAGTCACACAGTTAAGTCAATAGCCAGTTAGTCACTCACCCTCCAATCTGTCCATTAGACAGCCACCCAGCCAGCCAGGCAGCTAACCGGTCAGGATATCAGGCTGTCAGGCATTCTGCCTGTTCTGAAGCCAGCTTGTCAGCCAGGGCGTCAGTGAGTCGGACTGCCCTGGAGCCAGCTAGTCGGTCAGTCTGTCCATCAGTCAGCCAGCCAGTCAGCCTGTACTGTGGTCAAATGGTCCCTCATTCTATTTGTCAGCCAATGCCATTTTCTCAAAGAAGCTCCCTCTAGCTTCTGAAACCAAATTAGTCACACATGCATATATTCACACCCACCCACCCACACATCGATCCAGAACATTCTATGTTATGATAGCTCTCTGTACTTTTCCTTCATAGCGCTTATCATACCTTGCACTCACGCTCATTTGTGTGATTATTTGGTTTGTCTTGTTTCCTGCTAGATTATAAGTTCCATGAGGTCAGGAACTGTGTTGGCTCTGTTCTGGGATGAATGGCTGCATCTCTCAGTGGGTCTTGCCGTCCCTGAGCCATCTAGACACTGTGTAGCAGCTTTCTGGGTGGACAGAGCAGGGCACAGGAGCATTTCAGCCAGAGAGAACAGCATAGGTTAAGGTATGAAGGGGTAAAAGAACATGACATCCCTGACAAACTGTAAATGATGTGTCATTGCTGGAGCATAAGCTGAGGGTGGGAGGAGGGCACAGGCAGAGTTAGTGGGAGATATGCTTGGAGCTGTAGGTTGGGGCCAGGTCCTGAAGGGCTTTGTGTGACATTGGAAGGCAGTGGGATTTAGGTGATGAGCTATTGAAGATTTTAAGTGTCAGGGAGAGTTGTGTTTTAGAACACAACTCAGGCAGCAATATGGAGGTGAAGTGGAATGAAGGAGGTAGAGACTGGAGGCAGGGATGCCAATCAGGAGGCTATTCAAGATCCTGAGGTTAAGTGTGTCCCTACTTTTTCCATATCACGAAAAATGCTATGATTTGTGTGGCACACTGGAATAAACAGATGAGGCAGCTTGTGGCCAGAGGCAACAGGACCCAGAGGCTGAGGGGCTCAGGATCTCATCTCAGCACACTTGTCACCCATTCATACACACTTAGAGAAATTTTGGTCTTGAAGGAAGATGTTGAGGGCCTGAAATAAAGCAGTGGCAGCAGAGATGGCCGTGATGTCTGTGAATGTTCCTGAGGCAAGCCTAGTGAGTCTTGGGCCTTCATAGTAATGGTGGTAGCAGCTATCCACACCCAAACCTCTGTGTATTCTTCCCTGCCATTGGTGGCAGGGATTGAGGCAGAAAGGGGTATCTCACTCTCTGCCCTCACATACCCTTCCCTTTCTGTCTCTACTTTGTTGTACACAAGGTTGACCATTCTGTTGTGACTGAGAAGTATCCATTAACTAAAAGTATAAACATCCCCTCTGCCCTTTCCTAATAATGACCCAAAGGTAATATCTCATCCCTGGTCCCTTTCTCATTGGAGAAAGGAGGCATTGCTCATTGGTTATAGATAGTTCCTTTTCTACCTGATGGTATTGCGTGAGCTCCATAGGAGTATCACTAACTCATTGCCTGAGGGGCAGAATCCAAATGCCTTACCATGGCATGCAGTGTAATTGGATGTACAATAACTATTAAACAATTCAAGATAGGATTCAATCCAGCACAAGCTTGTGTGATATAGACACAGCACTGTACGACTTCTGAGATAGGTACAAAGTTTAAGCAGGAAATAGACTGGAGATGGTGATTTTGGAATCCCCAGCACAGAGGTGAAAGTTGATGCCCTGATGGTGAAGAACTGAGGGTTGGGGACTGAGCCTGAGGCATGGATCGGGCAGGGAGGTTGTGCAAGAAGAGCGGGCCAAAGAGAGACCTGGAGATGGTCAGAGACTGCAGAAGTAGAACACAGTATCACCTCATGGAAACAGAAGCCAAGAGAAGAATTTCCAAAGGAGAAGAGGATTACTATTGGCAAATGAAACAAACTGAGAGGTGTGAAAATGAATACAAACTATTGCATTTAGCTGGAAATAAGCTTCACTCGTAGATGAGGTAGCAAACTACTGCCCATGAACCAAACCTGACCCACCACCTGTTTCTGAAAAGAACGTTTCCTTAGAATACCATCACACCCATTTGTCAGCTGACGGATTATCGATGACTGTTTACACAATACAGTGGCAGAGTTGTTGCAACAGAGCTTGTATGGCCCACAAGGCCTAAAATATTTACTATCTAGCCCTTTACAGAAAGAGTTTGCCAACTTCTGGTCTATATGAACTACAAAATATTCAACTCAAGCTATGTGTCAGGATCCTGGAAGATAGCAAAGAAAACTGGTGCAACTTGAGCTAAAAGCTAAGCTGGTTTGGATTCAGAATTGTTCCCAAGGTGATGATCCAGCCAAAGAAGGCTAGTCTAGTTGGTGACCAAGTTCCATCAAGTCTTCATGATGTCCTTTTTTACTACCACTACCCTAGTGGAAGCCCTAAACACCTCTCACCTGGACTTTTGCAGTAGCCTCCTCACTGCAGGTCAGAGAAGGGACTCATTCCCCTCTTTTAATTCTTTTAGCTCTTAATGCTTGGTCTGGGAGCCCCCAAAAGTCAAGGTGACCCACAGCCCCATGGCTCCCTCTTCGGCCAGTGGCTTCAGTGGTCTTTATCTGGAGGTCACTGCCCTATCCCAGGGAGAATCTTCCCATGGCTGACTTCAATCTGACCCAAACTTATTTTCAAGCCACACTTTTAAAATTATAATACAGATATTGGAAGGTTTCTAGAAAAGGTGATGAGTTTTTTATTATATCATTTTTTTTGATATATCATTTCCGGTTCTCTGAAGCAGTCAACTAGCTAACTCCAGGATTAATTTGACTGATTTAGGGCCAGGGACAGAAGTCAATAGAGTATGCTAGTATTTCCCAAAGTGGGTTAAAAAAAATGAACAACTCTACTACCATGAGATGTTCTATGAAAATAGATTTTTTGGGGCCGGCCCCGTGGCTTAGCAGTTAAGTGCACGCGCTCCACTGTTGGTGGCCTGGGTTTGGATCCCGGGCACCCACCCAGGCACCACTTCTCTAGCCATGCTGAGGCCGCGTCCCACATACAGCAAGTAGAAGGATGTGCAGCTATGACATACAACTATCTACTGGGGTTTTGGGGGAAGAAAAATAAATAAAATTATTAAAAATATATAGAGAGAGTTTTTTTTTTTTTTTTTTTTGCTGAGGAATAGTAGCCCTGAGCTAACATGTGTTGCCAATCTTCCTCATTTTTTGCTTGAGGCAGATTAGCCATGAGCTAACACCTGTGCCAATCCTCCTCTACCCTATATGTGGGTTGCCGCTACAGCGTGGCCGACAAGTGGTACAAGTCTATGTCCAAGATCTGAACCCGCGCACCCGGGCTGCCAAAGTGGAATGTGTCAAACTTAACCACCATGCCACGGGGCCGGCCTCCCGAAAATAGATTTTTTGATGAAATAATTTGGAAAAGATGGAATACTAAAGCCCCTTTCTTAAAGTTTGGCAGTGCACATTAATAGATTAAAGGATCTGAGAATTCCCATAAGTACAACTATCTGCATAGCCTTGTTTAACCCAGTATTTCACACATGTATTTGATCAAAGAACTCTTTTAAGGAGCACCAATTAACATCTCCAGGACACTTCGGGAAATAGAGGAAAGAGGAGAGAGCATGGAGGTCTGAGCGGGGCCAATGGGGACTTGATTGCATGGAATGTCCATGTCTGAGAAGCTGTTCTGTGTATAGAGATGGGCAAGAGATAGTTTGTGCATTTAAGGAACTTCCTGTCAAGGATGTTGCCCAGTCTAGCCTAGACTCCCAGTTTCACTCCACTCTCCCAGCTGGCCCATACGTCTGCTGAGCCCTGACAAACCCAAATATAGTCACACAGCAGTCATGTGATATTATATGAGTTTAGTCTTTTTCAGTAAAGGTGGTTCATTAACTGTGTAATTAAAGGTTGATTTAGTTTTGATACCTGGGTAAGAGTTTACTATAAATAAATTCTCAAATAAGAAATTGTCAGGCCATGTTCCTCAATTTTTGGTTCAGAAAGTGTGGTTCCTGTACCTATACAAGTCATCTTTTCTTCACTGTCATCCTCCAGGAATTGAACCCAACTTCCTCCTTCCAGTGTCCTCATGTTTCTTCCCATCTCTCCCTCAGCCTCTGGTGCTGTTGATGGAGTGGCCCGAAGCTACCAACTTTGCCTGCCTGATTGCGGGGTACTGCCGCCTCCTGCTGGATTCCAGGAAGATGGTCTTCTCCAGGCCCGCCAGCCAGCCTCTTCCACCTCCAATGATCAAGGCAGGTAGGGCTCAGCCTCGGTTTTCAGTGTGCCAGAGGCCCTTTGGCCCTGGAGACATGGAGGGAGGGGCTCTGCTGCCTTTGTGCTCACCCCATTCCACCAGCACATGGTTTACCAGGAGCCGATGCTGTACCACCATGTCCTACCTGGCATAAGCCAGTGGGAAAGACAGCCGGCCTTGAGATGGGCCTGTCCCACAAAGGATGCCTGTGACAACACATTGTGATCGAGTCACTGAATGACTGTAAGATAAAAATAGCAAACAAGCAATAAATAGAACAAATTAAAGAATCACATTGGATCTAAGGCAAAGCTTTAGAGGTACAGTGATCTAGAAGCATGGATGTTCTGGCTTAGTTGAAGTGGAGGTTGAAAATGAAGATAAAATCTTTCCTTTGTTATCATAGGGAGGATTGACAGAGCTGTCTAAAGTAAGAGGCCATGGAAGGCTGGGGTAGAAAAGACTGTGCAGGCCCAGAATACAGTCTAACAGGAGGCTTGGAGACAGGAGGGGACGACCACTAAGAACAAGGTCAAGTGCAGCCCCCAAACAGAAGGCGTCCCAGTTAGGCAACTCAGTGCAGCCACCCCTTGGAGCTGTCCTGGTGATGGCACAAACAGGGGCTTTGGGAAAAATCAGTCCAGTCCAGATAATGTTGTCCCGAACCAAAGTGGGAGGAGGAGGAGGAGACCCAAAGAACAAGTTCTCCACATCTTAGACCTAAGGCTCACATATATGCAGCAAGTGCTCCCCCACCTCAGAACCCGAACATCATGGGCGGAAACTGAGACTTACCACCTGGCCATCATCCTCCTCACATGCTAAGGACTCTCCATCCGCTTGCCTTGCTGCTTGACTATTTCTTCTCTCTTCAAGGCTGCCTTCGTTTGCAGTGTGGTCACATCTGATCTAGATTGAGGAGTTTGAGAGTAGAAACACACTCCTGATGGATGACCCAGCACCCAGTGGGCTGTGTACCCACACACACCCTCTCACCTCATTGTCTCCTCATCACAAACATCATGGCAAGCCCATGTTTACATCTCATAACATTGTCCACAGGAATTAGAAGGCAATCCACCAAACATAGACTTGGGAAAGGAGAGGTGGCCCCATGGCATAAGAAGGAGCCTCCACACAGAGAAGCAAAGGAACTGACTTGGAGTAGAAAGAACCCAGGGAGCTGAGTTGCCGCACGTCTCCAGGTGACTAGCTCCAAAGTGGGCAGCCATACATACTATCAAACCTATGATGGCCAAATGATGGCAAAGCCAGTGTTAGCATTGTCACTGTCACTTGTGTCATCATACCCAAGTAAATTATACCTCTTACTGAGCAGGATAGAGAGGAAGAAAGGGAAAAGGGCAGGCAGAAGGAAGAGGCTGGAGCCCAGCTGAGGACGAGATGTGGAAGTGAGGGTTGTCCAGGGGAGGTTCACTTTCAGAAGGCCCTGGGGGTAGCGCTGTAGTCCCACCCGTCCCGACAAAGGGTTTCTGTTATCCTGTCAGCACCCTAGCTAGTGCTGTCCTTAAGCATTCCTCTTGCTGTGGGGACAGTGGCACCAAGTGAGGGACACGGGCTTCCTGTGTTCCATCGGTCTCACTGAACACATTGCACGTTGCATCCTGTTGCTTTTCCAAAGGCAAATTGATTTCATTGGATTCTGTTGGAGATGTTGCAGCCTGGAAAGGAGGCTACTATAAATGCTAGGCGTGGCTTTAGAGCCCCTCCCTGATTCCTGAGAGCCCCCTTGGGCCTGCAAAGTGATGGGGGCTCAGGCTGCTTCTAGCACAGGTTCATGCAGGAGCTAGATGGACCACGGTGAAGTCCCCACTGTTTGTAGTGCTTCACCTCGCCAAGGGCTTGGGTCCATGCCTGGGCCCAGCTGTGTGGCCTTTTGGACTGTTAGATGCTAGGTCAGCAGCAGCCACCAAGTGCTCTTGGCAGGTAGGGCAGGATGAGCCTCATGGCTCTGCTTGTTGGCTGCTGGTGTGCACATCATATTCCCATGGCCCCAAGGACGGGAAAGGGGGACAGCAAGCAGCACCACTGAGGAGCCTTCTTCCAAGGTTACAGTGAGGGGCCATCAGTTCCTGGTACAAAGTTGAGATCGATTTCCTGCATCAGCCCCCGCTTTCATCCCAGAACAGAAGCCCAGCGTTGGCTATTGTTTAGCGAAGGCCTATAAGGAACAGGTAACCTGCCAATCTCATCAGGGCTTTTCCCTCAGGGGCCAGAGCTCCAGCCCACTCAGGGCCTGGTATCTCTGGCCGGCTCTATATCCTCGTCCCACAGCAGCTGCTGGCTGCCAGCTAGCCCAACTCAATGCTTAACTGACTGGGCCTAAAAGATGCTGTTAAACCAGCAACTTGGAAAGAGAAAGCATCACTTCTACTCTGAGACCCAGAAAAAAACGAAAATGGGGATGAGGACGTGAAGGGAGTACCTCTTGGGCTTTAACAGTAGTTTCCCCAAAGTAGGTATTTCTTATTCACTAAATAACTACTTCTCAAGTTCTCATTATGTGCCAGGCACTGCGGATAGAGCTGTGAATAACAGACATGGTCCTTGCCCCCATAGAGCTTACAGTCTAGTGAGGGAATACAGATTATTAAAGGGTAATGCCAATGCAGTAAGTGCCTTTGCGTCTCTATGGGGGACATTCAACTGCTACAACAGAACAATACCTGAGCTTGAAGACACGGCTTAGAGAAAGGCTCAGACAAATGCCAATTCTCCTGTACTGAGCTGGTGAGAAATCCAGAGGCAAGTGCCATGTCTCTCCAGCCTTGAGCTCCTTGTATCCTGGGGGAATCGAGGAAAATAAGGCTTTGGGGACCCCAGTTGGGGCCACAGTTGGAGGAGCTCACTCTACATTTTCTCCCATGGTTAGAAAACAGTTTGGTCTGGTGAATCGAATATTCTAGTTAATGGCTTCTATACATCTCATGTTTACTTACTGATTTTCATGTAGTTAAAACTCAACAACATGCACAGAGTACTAAAGCTAGACTGAACATAACAGATTCTTTTTTTCTTTTGATGATGATTCAGAGAGAACATGAGTTCCTCGCAAGGCCTCTAGGTTGTCATCATGACCAGTAATGATCATCGGACTGTGGAATACAGCAAGGCCAAGTAATAGAAAGCTGCTTGAGTCAATGTCATGCTGACTGTACATTTATGTATATAAAAATAAACTGCATATATTTTTGAACATAGCTCCAGTTGGATCACCATTCTGTTCTTTGCAAGTATTTTTTTAAGTCAGTCTTCTGAGAAACTGAGTACAGAGGGATAGACTAGGGCATCCCCACTGGGGAAAACTGATGAGCAATTTACAGCAGATTTGTAGTCTGAGAGGCAGGCACACTGTCCCAGCCATCAGCCGACTGCACCTGGCTTTACTGGCATTTCTAACCTTCTGTCTGGAAGAGATTTGGGCTTCTCCAGGCACATTTTTCTCCTTCACACAGCCTGATGCCGCTCCTCAGATCTGGAAATCACAGTACCAAGTGGTGGGGCTGTGAATCACCTGGCCTTGACAGCCTGGTTTTGGGAGATGTTTCCATCTTACAGGGAAGGAAGCCACCCTTAAACCACCAGACCTTGTCTGAGAAAAGTCACCAACTGCTTATTGGACATGCCCCTGGGAGCCACCTGTGATGGCAGCTTATTGCCAGGCTGGCTACGCTGATTGTTCAGCTGTTTCAGGTAGTTAGCACCTGGTGCACGGCCAGGACCTGTGGACAATGCCTCGAGGTAGAGACCTCCTGAACTGATAGTTTATGCTCCTAGCTCAGTGTTCCTCTAGAGCGCTTATTCCCTAAGGCTCAGAGGATCATTACATACTATTCCCCCAGCTGATCCAGAGTTCCCTAGATATAGCCACTAAGGTCTGAATTGAACCCACTCGATGTAGTTACATTGACTCTATATTTAGAGGGGCAAATGGTCGATGGAAAATAGCAAGGGCTTGGGATCTGAAGTCACAGAGACTTGGGTTCCAGTCCCTGCTGTGCCATATCTTAGCTGTGTGATCGATCATGAGCAAGTTCCATAAACTGAGTCGCAGTTTGCTCATCTGTACACTAAGGATAATAATAGTACCCACCTCCTGAGGGATTAACAGGATCAGGTGAGATAAACCCCGTAAAGTCCTTTCGAGTGCAGAGCACATTTTTGCTCTTTTTATAATGATTGAGAGTTCATCAGGTGCCCAGTGCTGTGCTTTATTTTTTAAGAAACAGCTTTGTTTAGATATAATTTCCAATCCATAAAATTCACCCATTTAAAGTTCACAACTCAGTGATTTTGAGTATATTTAATATATTCACAGGGTTGTACAAGCATTGCCACAATTTAATTTTAGAACATTTTTGCCCCTCCTAAAACAAATTCTGTACCCATTAGCACTTGTTCCCCATTCCCCTCCTAATCACTACCCAGCCCTAAGCAACTACTAGTTGACTTTCTGTCTCTATAGCTTTGCCTATTCTGGACATTTTGTATAAATGGAATCATACAATATATTGTCTTTTTGTGTTCGGCTTTTTTCACTTAGCATAATGTTTTCAAGGGTCATCCGTGTTGTAGCATATATCAGTACTTTCTTTCTTTTTATTGACTAATAATATTCTATTGTATGGACATACTACATTTTGTTTATCCATTCATCAGTTGATGGACATTTGGGTTGTTTCTACCTTTTGGATATTATAAATAATGATGTTATAAACATTCATGTATAAGTTTTTGTGGGGACGTATGTTTTCATTTCTCTTCGGTATACCCAGGAGTGGAATTGCTGGTCAAATCGTAACTCTATGTTTAATTTTGAGAAACAGCCAAACTGTTTTCCAAAGTGACTGCACCATTTTACATTCCCATCAGCAATGTTGTAGGGTTACAATTTTACCATATCCTCACCAACACTGGTTATTGTCCATCTCTTTTATTACGTCCATTGTAGTGGATATGAAGTGGTACCTCATTGTAGTTT